GCTTCCTGGAAGCCTCCTGGCTCCATTTTCGATTGCTCCCTTGACAATACCAACTCCATTTTGCTGTTTTTGTTTTTTTTTTTTTTTCCACATAATAAATGCTTCAAATGAATAAATGACTGAAAGGATGAAAGGAGAGGTGAGTAATTATTTAAGGATAGTGATTGCAATTTACTAGTGAAAATCAGCCAATCAATTAATATTTATTATTTATTGCACACATTATGCGACAGTTTGTACTTGAAGCTACATTCCTAGAAATTGTGGTCGAAAAACAGTGGATTGGTGAATCAGCTGAACTTTTCATCCAGTGTAAATGTGAAGACTTTAAAGATGTCTTTTGATCATTCAGCTAGTGCTAACTACAGGCTACATGGTACTAGGGCAACTGATAGTTTGGTCACTATTTAATCAAGTGGTTTCCAGGGTCAAGTGGTCACAGGTAGGTGTCAAAGGTTAATGCAACAGCTCATCTGCAGCCATTAGTGTAGCAGCCTCTGGGATCATCTCTGCCTGAAGATTCTGCTGACTTTTATTTAATCTGGCAATTAAGACAAAAATTGACCCTTCTGACATCTCCATTTCCTCTGGTCTTAATGCAATCACATGATCTCTCTAATTGGATCCCTCATGATCAATAGTCCCCCAAAGGAGTCCTTTTGACAGAATAGACTAAAAATCTGAATGCCCTAGGGGTTCTGGGCCTTCTCAAAGCACATGTTAATTCTCCAGGGGTGGACAATGGCCTTAGTCATTGGGACTAACTTCATTCCTGATTGCTAGGATGAATGTTTCCACCATTTAGAGCCTTATGAATTGGCTTGTTAAAGCCTTAATTACTTACACGTGTGCCACTATATGTGGTTATCATGTCCTGAACACTGCTTCAATGCTAATAGTCTGGCTGTACCGAAGACCTGGACTCTTGAGTGACATCCTGTCTTGACTTTCATTTGCAGCAGCTCTCATATCAAATCCTGAAAGAACTGTTTATTCAAGAAGCTAGATGTGACATCTGTGGTCTTGAAAGCGTGCAAAAGATTGGAAATAAATACTTCTTTTAAAAAAACTTCTCATGCCCTGGCCGGTTTGGCTTAGCACTTAGAGCATCGGCCTGCGGTCCAGAGAAACACGGGTTCGGTTCCCGCTAAGGACATGTACCTCGGTTGCAGTTTGTCCCTGGCCCTGGTAGTCATGCGGTGGCAGTCACTCGATGTGTCCCTTTCACGTCGATGTTTCTCTCTCTCTCTCTTCCTCTCTCTCCCTCCCACTCTATCTGAACAAAAAATGGAAAAATGTTCTCGGGTGAGGATAAAAAAAAAAACTTCTCATTGATTAGGAGCTTGAAGTTAGCTGACTACTAGAATCGGTCACTCTTTTAAAGAATACACAATAATGCTTAATTCCATTTTCTATGTCTTTTATTAAACACTGTTTCACTAACACCCTACCACTTAAATAATGAATCCAGTAACTTTTAGCTCTAAAAGAAATATATGCATTTCATAGCTACTATTGTTGCAGTGTGTGTTTTTTCTACCTGTATTGTGGTTAGGATCCTTTTCTTTTTTAGGTTTCTAGTTGCTTGATAACCATGACCTATGCCATCTTAACATTTCATTTATTTTACTTGTCTCTATATAGTTCTGATAGCACATGTCTGAATTCTCATTCTGTAGAATTCTACAGAATCATATCCATGTACATTTTTATAAAAACATATTTAAAATATCATATAATTCTTTAATGGAAAATCAAAGGTCCTGGCAATCACCCATCACTTCTCCTGTTTACATAGAGAGAATTTTTCTATAGAATTCCACCAGCACTATCACTAACAAAAACATCTATTTTAAGGTATATTGGTGATAGTTATATTACCTCATATTTGATAAAAAGAGAAAAATAATAATCTAAATAAATATAATTTTCTCAGCAAGGTTATTCTAGGGAAACTTTGGTTTGTCTCACTGACAAACTTTCAGATATATATCTATATATATCTACATACATATATACATTTCTTAATTTATTTTTGTTACAGATGTTTCTCCTTTTTCCCTCAATTGACACCCCCCTCTTGATCCCCCCCAACACCGTCCCCAGCATTGTTGTCTATGTCCACGATTATGCATACATGCATAGAAGTTCTGTGGTTTATCTCTCCCCCCCAACCCCCTCTTCTGAGGTTTGTCAGTCTGTACCCTACTTCCATGTCTCTGGGTCTATTTTGTTCATCAGTTTGTTTTTTTCATTATATTCCACAAATAAGTGAGATCATGTGATATTTGTCTTTCTCTGATTGGTTTGTTTCACTTAGCGTAATACTCTCCAGGTCCCTCCATGTCATCTCAAAGGATAAGAGATCTTTCTTTCTTACAGCTGCATAGTATTCCATTGTGTATATGTACCACAGCTTTTATATCCACTCATCTATTGATGGACACTTGGGTTGTTTCCAGATCTTAGCGATTGTAAATAGTGCTGCCATGAACATAGGGGTACATATATTCTATCTGGTGTTTCAGGCTTCTTAGGGTATATTGCTAGAAGTGAGATCACTGAGTCAAAATGGCAGTTCAATTTTTAACTTTTTGAGGTAATACCATATTGTTTTCTGTAGTGGGTGCACCAGTCTGCATTACCATCAGCAGTGTACTAGAGTCTCCTTTTCTCCACACCCCCGCCAGCACTTGTTTGATGATTTGTTGATGGCAGCCATTATGTCAGGTTTGAGGTGATACCTCATTATTGTTTTAGTCTGCATCTCTCTGATGATTAGTGACGTTGAGCATTTTTTCATGTCTCTTGGCCATTGTATGTCCTGTTTGGAGAGATGTCTTTTTAGGTCCTCTGCCCATTTTAATTGGATTATTTGTCTTCCTTTTGTTGAGTTGTATGAGTACTCTATATATTTTGGAAATTAACCACTTATCTGATATACTTTCAAAGATACAAATCTCAAGAGGATCTTACGGGATCTTAAGTAAGACCAATTTATGAGAGAAAAACAAGGGATTGGGAGGACAAAAATTTTGTAATTTCAAACCACTCCCTCTGAATTTTATTTGAGAACTTCCTGGAAATCATATAAACATGGGAAAAGCACCAACCAACCCTCATAGGCAAGAAAGTAAGTTCTTTTCCCCAAAGAAATCTACAACCAACTTAAGGAAGCAGAAAATAATTAATTGTAGCATATCTTCATTTCCTCTTTTACTGATCATTTGGAAAACAAGGGGCCTAAAATTCTGTCCACCCTCCTGATTAAAGGGAGGTTCAGAAGACACAGTCAAAAAGATGTATCCTTTAGATATGAATTTTCTAAGTTTATTCAAATATGATTTAAAAAATGCAAGTGGCTTTCTGAACTATAGACCTTATTCAATTACATAATCCTATGAACTCCACTGATTGCTAAAAAGATAGTATCACACAGTGTTGAGAGTACTCGGGACTAACAGACTATTTGTGTTTGAATCTCACCTCCTGTGCTTGCTGTGTTACCTTGAACAATTTACTAACATGTCTGTGACTTAGCCACCTTATCCGTAAAATGGAGATACAAATAATAATTACCTTGAGAATTATTATGAGGATTAAATGAGTCAATATGTATAAAGCACTAAGAACAGTACTACTGAATTGTAAGTGCTATATTATTGTATGCCAATACTTATATGCTAAATTTCACTGAATTCTATAAATCATTGCTGTACCTGTGCCTACCTATATAACTAACACATTTAATGATTAGTGAAAATATTTATCAATAATTACTTTGTTCCTCCTTGGCCAGTTTGGCTCAGGGCTTAAAGCCCTTGGCCTGTGGACCAAAGACAGTTGCAGTTCGATTCCAATCAGGGGCAGATACCTTGGTGGCTGTTTGTTCCAGGCCCTCGTGGAGGGAGGGAGTTGTGGGGGAAGCAACCAATCGATATGTCTCTCTCACACAGATGTTTCTATCCCTCCCTCCCTTCCTCCCACTCTATCTGAAGATAAATGGAAAAATATCCTCCAGTGAGGTTTTAAAATAATAATAATAATAATAATAATAATAATAATAAAACAACTTTGTTCCAATATGGTGGACACTGATACCTTAAAGAGATATACCAAATTTGGTGAAACTTATCAGTTTCTTCAAAATCATTGTGGAATAAATACATGAACAGAGTGAGACAGTGAATGCCAAATGTTGAGTTAAAATATAAATTTTATTCAACAAAAATGGTTAAAATCAAGAAAGAGGAAGATATATATTCAGGAAATAGAGAATCCATCTCAAGAATGAGGCTAGGACTTTCCCAGGATGGCAGTTGGGAGACCCCAGGGCATCAGTTGAATGTAATGCCTCTCAAACACTGTTGTGCATCGGAATCGCTGGGAGACCTTGTTAAAATGCAGATTCTGATTCAATAATTCTGGGCAGGGATTAAGATTCAGAATTTTTAACAGGCTCTCCACAGGATGCTGATGCTGCTCTTTCAGGGACTACACTTGGTACAGCAGGGTGTAGAGAACAAACAGTCCAAATTGTAACAAGAAGACTGTACGGAGAAAGAATGAGAGAGAGAAATTGATTTACTTCTGGGAGATAATTGAGGATGAATTCATGTTAAGCAATAATAGTACAGTAGAAGAGGAAGAGAGATGAAATAGAGGGAAAGATTAATCTTTTAAATAAATACAAATCAAGGAAAAACACGGCCGGGAGTGAGGACAGTGCCATACATCCAGGTGTTAGTAGGAAGGCCAGACCACCTGAACGGAAACAAATTGGGGGTCTGTGGATCTCAGGGGCATCCCTAGGAGATGCTCTGGATGGCGGCCCGGTGGGTGAAAGATGCAACACCCTCTCGCCAGCCGGGCAGTGGGCGGGGCCTCGGCCAGACCCCTCACCCGGCATTAGGGGCGGGGCATGGGCGGAGCGTTCTCGCTAAATTGGCGCGCCAGTGGCGGCGCAGGGATTCGGATTGGTGGTTCTTGAACCCGGAAGCAGTCGGCCGCGCTCGGAAGCCGCGGCGGGACGCCGGAGAGGGCTGGTACTGCAGCGACAGGATGGTCGGCGGCGGCGGGAAGCGCAGGCCCGGCGGGGAGGGGCAGCAGGTACTGCCGCAGGGGCTGTGCGGGCTCTGCGGGCGATTCGGGTGACAGCCAGGGCACCAAGGGGCGGCACATCGCATTTATCCAGCAGTCACTGAGCGCCTGCTGTGTGCCTGTGAACGGGGGCTGCTCTGTGTGCCCTGCGCGGGGCCGCTGTTTCCCCGAGCTCTGCCGGGATTTGGACCAGAGGTGTGGCGCCTTTGCATCTTCTGCCCTTCTCCCGGCGCGGTTCCTGGGGAAGCCGTTTAAGACAATCGACCGTTCATTCGTTGCACCAGCCACATTAATTGGAAACCGAGTACAAGCCGGGCGCTGTGCGGGGTGCCGCGGCTTCCAGTCGAGGTCTGCTGCCCCTGCTCCACGTAGAGCCCCCAGACTAGGGAGGCGGGGCGCAAGGGGATAGACGTCCTACCGTAACTTCTTTTGTTTGGCATTGTAACAAAAATGTGGAGAAAGTGCTATGGAAACGTTGAAGGAGGATTTAACAAGTCCCTGGGGGCTGTTAAGGAAGTCTTTTAGGGGCAACTCACAAGTTTGAAAGGGTTGGCAACTCACGAGTATGAAAAGGTTTTTGAAGGCAAAGAAGAGTTAAATAAGGGGTAAGAAATAAGTGTTGGGCACGGCGGCGAGTTCCGCCAGGCTGGAGCCTGAAAGATGGTAACGTAAGAGGGACCTGATCATAAAGGCACTAATGAGGGAGGGGGGCATGAAGTTTGTGCATTTTCTCGTGCTTTTAAATGATTTCAGAAGTTCTGCAACCTTTGCAGTGCCAATAAGGAGATCCAGGCAGGAAGGAACGAACGGTCATTGTGATAAGTTGTGTTTTAGAAAAATCACTCTGGCTACTGTTATTGCTGAGTAGGGTAAGACAGTGTTAGAGGGCCTGATTAACTGAGAGGGCCACAGTTCTGGGCATTCATTATATTGGGTCACGCTTTCTAGAACACAAGGGTAAAGGATAGGTGCTGCCTGTGAAGGGGACAGCTGTCCTAAATTCTAGTTATTGGGGATTTGGAGATGCTGAACTGGTGTCTGAGGTAAGGCAGCGCTGAAAAAAACCCTTATCTCCTTTGTGCAGGGAACTGCTTTGACAGAGTGATAGTGTCAAAAACAAAATAGCAACAATAAAGATGAGACTATAGAGACCGTAGCTAACAATAATTGCCAGCACCTATACATTATGAGCTAGGACTGTTCTGTGTATTTTTATAAATAACTTTCCCCTCATAAAAACCTTATGATATAGGTAGAGTACTACATATGCCCATTTTGTAGAAGTTAAAACAAGGCACAGAGAATTTAAGTAACTTGTCCAAGGTGACAGAGCCGGAAATCAGAAGTCAACCCACCTGACCTCCCCATTATGCAAAACTGCCTTTCAGCAAGGTAGATTAAGGCTTTTCTAACATCTTAAGTCTGAGCCAGTCTTTGAAAGTTTAACCAAAGATAATTCTTAAAACAGAAGGGAGGTAGGTCAGGCACAGACTCTTCCAACTGTTCTCTATTTGTAGTTGGAGAAGTAGCATGAAGTGGTTGAATCTGTGCTCAGAAGCCAGCCCACCTGGGTTTAAATAAATCCCTGCTCTTTTCATTCATACTTAGGGCCCTAGGGGAAATACTTCAGTTTCCTCATCTGTAAAATGTGGATATTATTATCTAGCTCATAAGGCAGTTGTGAAGATTAAATGAGTTAATCCATAGAAAGTCCTTAGAACAGTGGCCTGACACATAGTAAATGCATAATAAATACTTTTTTATTATGTATTATTTTTTGTTGTTTCTTTATTACCATTGTTTACTATTATCATCAGCATCCATTTTTGGATCCATATTTTAGCACCTCTTTTGTTAAATGTAATTTTTTATGACCTCAAATGGGCACATTACAGTCTTTGGCATAATAAACTGTTCTCATTGGCCAATGCATGGTCCTCTTTTACCTTATTTATTAATAATATAACAAACACCTGTAAACCCACTGCCCAACCTGAGAACTGAAACACTGTTCTGAACTGAGACAACTCTAATCTACTCACCTATCCTCTAATTTCCATTCACCCACATTCGATGGAACTACCATCCTGAATTTTATGTTTTCTTTTGCCTTTTTTTTTTTTTTGCTTTATCACCTATGAGTGTATGCCTAAACAATATTTGTTGTTTTTGAACTTTATTAAAAGCTATGATGCTGCATATAATCTTCAAGGACTTTTTCTTTCAACATTCTAGTATGAAGACTGATTCATGTTGTGTGGAGTTATATTTCTTTTTCACTAAGTGTAGTATTACATTGCTTGAAAGTCCTGTAACTATCCATTCTTCTATCAACAGGCCTTTTCATTTATTCTGTTTTCTGCTCTTAGAAATAGTGCTATCAAGAACATTCTTGTATGTGTCATCCTGTAGACTTTGAATGCTACCTAAAGTAGCATCAATACACTTGAGTCTACTGGGAAAATGGAAGAGTATAAATAGGAGAAACATTTAGGTTAGCATTTTTCCACCGTGGCACTATGGACATTTTGAGCCAGGTAAATGTTTGTTAAGGGACCTGTCCTGTGCATTATAGGATATTTAGCTATGTCCCTGGCCTCTACCAACTAAATGCCAGTAGCACCCCCCCCCCCCCAATTTGTGATAACCAAAAAGCTCTCCAGGCATTACTAAATGTGTCCCCTGGAGGGGGCAAAATCACTCTGGTTGAGAAGCACTGACTGGAAAGAAAGAATAAAAAAAGAACTTAATCTAGAAGAAAGGTTCTAGAAAGAAAGACGTTGCTACTTACAAAACTAGAGATAAGTAACCTCCAAATAAATATTTTATCATTATAGAAACTTATCAAATATCTCATATGCATTATTAAACCTGGCGTGTATGTGTGTGTATGTATGTATATATACATAATGAACCTATATTGCAGACATGTTGGAGATAAGTTTTATAACCTACACCTGGCATTAAAGGGCCTTTTGTGAAATAACTGGTAAACTGGTAAATTCCCTTGTATCCAGTTATTTATGATGATTTGCATTTGCTGTGATGACTAAATCTATTTAAACAAAAGGCATGATGACATCCTATTTACCAAGAGAAAGCAAAACCTGCCTTTTCCTTATTTCTCTTTTCCCACTTTTTACCTTTTCTTTTTACTTTTGATTTTTTGTTTATTTTCTGTGTTTCCATCATCTTAGAGAAATACATTTAAAGAGTTATTGTGTGAGTCTCTCTTGACCACTGTATGTTATAAACTGTTCTTTTTTTATTTGCCCAGATTTTACTCAGAAATACCATTTATAGACTTTTAAAGAAAACACGTGTATCTTATAGAGTTGGGTGAACAGAAATGAACACTTGTTATTTAAGGAAAGTTACTGAAATTACTTTTTTGGAGAAAACATTTTGCATGCCAATTTTCAGTGCGAAAAAACAGTTGATGTGAAGAAGAGCAAATCCTGTGAAGCTGATGTCTCCAGTGACCTTCGAAAAGAGGTAGAAAATCATTATAAGCTTTCTCTGCCGGAAGATTTCTATCACTTCTGGAAGTTCTGTGAAGAACTGGATCCTGAAAAGCCAACTGGTGAGTTGCTCCAAAATCATTCTACTGCTTCTGCCAGTGGAAAAAGCGGTAGGAAACTGAACCAAGAATCTAAACAGTTCATAGAATAGGAACCTTCTCAAACATGTTTCTAATAAAAATATAAAATTGTACTAATATATCACTGTCACCTATTATCCTGGCAAAGGTAAATAATTTCATGACATGCTTTGATGAGGGTTTGAAAGAAAACAACTACTTTGATATGTTGCAGGAGTTTTAGTATGACTCAGCAGTTCTACTTCTAGGAATTTGTCTTATGGTTTAGGTGAACCCAAAATTTTGTTCAATGATATGTATTGAAACAAAAAATAAGAAATGGCTTAAATGCCCATCAGTAATGCATCTATTCAATAAGTATTTGTAGTTTTAAAAGAATGAATCAGATTTTTAGGCAATGATAAAGTATTATGCCTGAAAGATTTTAAGTGAAAAAGAAGAGTGTATGGAGTATGTAGCTACCATTAGTGTTAAAAAAAATAGTCAAGGATACACACACACACACACACACACACATACTTTCTGTTCACTTATACTATCTCTGAAAGGATACCCAGAAAACATGATGGTTGTGACGGAGTTACTTTTCACTGTCACCATTTTGTGCTGTTTAAAATTTTAGCATAAGGTAGGGAGAGAGAAACACTCTCATATACTATTGATGGAAATGAATTATATTGGTAGATAAGTATGAATTTTGGCAGTCTTAAAATCTTAAACTGCAGCAACTTCTCTAAAAATAATCATGGCTGTGTACAAATATGTCTTAGGATGTTTAGTGAAGCATTGTTTAGAATAGTAAAAAAGTTAAATAGTAAATATCAGCAGTAAAATAGGTATCTATAATGAAATAATGTGCAGGTATTAAAATTATATTAAAAAATTTAATAGCATGGAGAAATATTCAGAAAATTTAAATGAGAACAGGATGGAAAACAAAAAAACGTTATAAAACAGCGTAATCTCTTTAAAATATCTCTGTGTTTATACTTGTTTATAGAGTGGGGGGAATGTTATTACTATATACCAGACTATTAACCTTGTTATCACTGTCTAGTGAGACGAGTGGTTTTAGTTTTTATATTGCTTTATAAATTAGTGTGTGCTATCCTAACTTCCAGCTAAGCTAAACCATTTCCCCCCTCCAAGGAAATTGTGCTTTTATTCACATTGTTATCTTTTCCAAGAATTCCTCTCTTCATTCCTACCTCTTACATATCCAGATCCTGCCTGGAGTGCTTACCTCAGAGGATCTAGGAGTGTACATGTTGTAAGAGTGTATATTTGAACAGACTTCATGACTCTGGTCTTATTTAACATTCTCCCTCTGTGATCTGGGAATGGAGAAAGAAGGAATCATCCAAGATTGGCCAGATAGATTGTCAAGGAGACAAAGGAATCCCACAGTGATAATTAGCTAAGTCGAGGGAAGGGGGAAGAAATACTTTCATTAAAAACATTTTTTAATTAAATAAATTATTTACCTTTATGCACACTCATTATCTATTGCGTCTCTCCCTTTATCTGGGTGTGCTACAGTTATTTTAGGCTCGCAACAACATAGTAATGAGACAGGGTAGGTGTCGCAGCTCTAATATGCCCATTGGAACAGAAAGCAGTCTTACTTTGGCCAAAAAAACAAACAGCAGGAATGTTTGAAATATATTCAATGGTAAATTTAAGAGGAAATACTAAATGTAAATGGCACATTTTTATTGCTCTGATTTTGTTTCCATTGAGTGTTTATAACTAACATCTTCACATGTAACTAAAGATCGTTTCCTTTTACTTTAAAAGGTTTTTTAAGATAATTGCTTAGAAATACGTAGTTTACTAATGAAAGGCATTATGTCCTATCTGCCTTCAGAAAGTTATTGTCTAAATAAACTTATTTAATTTATAGATTCACTTTCTGCAAGCCTTGGACTTCGATTAGTGGGTCCATATGATATCCTTGCTGGAAAACATAAAAAGAAAAAAAAATCAGCAAGCCTGAATTTTAACCTTCACTGGAGATTTTACTATGATCCTCCTGAGTTCCAGACAATAATTATTGGAGATAATAAAACTCAGTTTCACATGGGGTATTTCAGGTAAAGGATCTTTTCATCTAAAATAGAATTACTGTTCTTCTAACAAGCAAATATTCACTGGTATCACCCAAGGTGAAGGGCATATTTTCCCCTTATTGGTGGATGCATGGGCCATCTGTTGTTCACTACTGGCCATTCTAACCTAACCCACCCTAGGATGGGTGAATTCCGGGTTTAACGTCACTGGTTTTTCCTTTGTGATTATAAACTTCTGTTTTTTCCTTTTGGGTTCAGAAGAGCTCTTTTAGCTCAAGGAAGATTGTTTAGAATAGATGCTGTGACTTAAGTGAGCCATCTGCTTCCAGGGGCCATAGAGACAACTGGTAGTTAAGAACGTGCTCTGGGGCCAGATAGACCTGTCCTACTGTTTATTATCTGAGTAACCATGTGCCAGTCATTGGTGACTGAATTTCTGTGATGCAGTTTCCTCTCTTTTAAAAATTAGAATAATGTACATACCTAATAGGATATTAGGATATGTACAACGTGCTTAGAATGTTAAAGAAATAGAAGTAGACTGAGGGGAAAAATACTCTGTGCACTTGTACCACTAGAGGGTCTATCATTTAAAGATGAGCCCTGGCCAGTTTGGCATGGTGGTTAGAGCATTGGTCTGCAGATCAGTCCCAGGTTCAGATCCCTCTAAGGACATGTACCTTGGTTGCAATTTGTCCCTGGCCCCAGTTGGGGTTGTGTGGGTGGCAGCCAGTCAATGTGTCTCTCTCACATCGATGTTTCTCTCTCCCTCCCTCCCGCTCTATCTGAGTATAAGTGCAAAAATGTCCTCAGGTGAGGATAAAATAATAAAAAATAGAGTACAGATGAACTGTAAGATGATAGAGTAGAGGAAGTGGAGGAAACGGGCCCAGGGAGAAGTGTTGTGGTGCAGTAGAGTGCACACAGTACTAGGAATTTGATTAGCGTGGATTCTGCTTCTCGCTCTGCTCTTAACTTACCAGGACCTTGGCTGAGTACTTCATCTCTCTGAATTGGTTTCCTCAATTGTAAAATCAAAGAATTTGCTTATATGTATATAAATCAAATCCTTGCACCTGTAATGTTTAATAATCCTTTATAATCCAGTCTGTCCTGTTTCTTTTCACCTTTTTTCCAGACTATAAACGGGTTGAGATGATGGTGTATAATCTTTCCTACTTTTTTTTTTTAATACTCACCTGAGAGTATTTTTCTATTTTTTTTTTTTTTTTGATAGAGTGGGAGGGAGGAGGAGAGAGAGAGGGAAAGAGAGACATTGATGTGAGAGAGAGACACATGGATTGGTTGCCTCCCACACCCCCAACCCTAACAGGCTGGGAATAGAACCCGTGACTCTTTGGTCTGAGGGCCAATGCTCTAACTACTGAGCACCGGCCAGGGCACTACTTCTCTGATAGCCCTTATTCACCCTTTTTAAATATTCAGTTATACAATGAGCTAGGTCCTAAGGATCTTAATTTTAGGTTCTGTTATATAAGTACAATTTGTTGTAGCTATTCCTAAGAAACTTAGAGCTTAAACCTGGCAAATTCCATTTAAAAAACACGCAGGTGTACATTGTTGTCAGTAAACCTAAAATACTACTTGCCTAACAATGTAAATTATGGGCAGCTGAATTTTTAATATCTTTTGCTTAAACAGGGATTCTCCTGATGAACTTCCTGTATATGTTGGTACAAATGAAGCGAAGAAAAACTGTATAATTCTTCAAAGTGGAGATAATGTGTTTGCTGCGGTTAGGTAAGGAAATATTTTATTTCAATCCCTTCCTTATTATATTTGTTCCTAATTATAATTTTGTCCCTAATTATAATTTTTGTGCTATATGGGGAATTGAGGTAACCTAAAAATTCTAGAAACATATATTTATATTCCATATAACCAATTATTTTATTTAATGAAACTATTACTTAATCTTGACCTCAGTTGTTCCATGAGAAAATCAGAAGATTTTTTTTTAGTAAAAATGATGGTATTTTAAAACATTATTCTAAGAACCCACTGTATTTAGTTCAAACAGATTTAATACAGTAAAGCAGGTGCTCATAACATCCTTGGAAGGGCTGTTGGAGCAGCTGGAACCTCCAGAAATGACTGTTGTAGGCAGGACTGCCTCACCAGTGGAGTTTATGTCTCTGTCACCACCAGGAAACTGGGAAATCAGCAACTGCTGCCACAACATGTGGCTTCTGGAGCACACCATCTTTGCCATAACCTGTGTCAGTAAAATGGACGCCCTGCCCTCTGCCTCTCAGTCCTCATGCAGCTGAGGAGCAGGTGCTGACACCTCAGCTGCAGCTGCTGTGCTCACGGGTTGACACAGCAGAAGCACAGCCCCCACCTGGTATCTCTGCTGCCTTTAGGATTTCAGAGTTGCATCTGCTCGAGGGAAGTTAGGTCCCATGTGGAGTCTGAGCTGAAGAACAGTATGGGAAATGCAGCACCGTCTCTTGTGGAAGGGGCGTGGAATGGAGCTGAGTGAGCCAGTTCACACCATCCCACCCTCAGACATAATTAGAAGCCATTTCTCAGCAGCTGTACAGTTTACATTGTAACAAAATGAAGAAAGCCATCATTATCATTTTATTTTATTTTTGAATCCTCACCCAAGGATATTTTCCATTTATCTTCAGATAGAATGGGAGGGAGGGAGGGAGAGAGAGAGAGAAACATCAATCTGAGAGAGACACATCAACTGGTTGCCTCCTGCATGACCCTGCCCAAGGCCAGGGACAAACCGCAACCCAGGTACATGCCCTTGACCGGAATCGTATCTGCGACTCTGGTTCATAGACCAACGCTCTAACCACTGAAAAAACGGACCAGGGCCATCCTGATCATTTTAAATATCATAAGTAGATCATGTTTGATGGGACCTCTTTTTATTAACCTACTTTTTTTTTCTTTTCATTTTTTTGTTTAGATAGAGTGGGAGGGAGGGAGAGGAAGAGAGAGAGAGACATCTATGTGAAAAGGACATATTGAGTGGCTGCCTCTTGCACGACCCAACCAGGGCCAGGGACAAACTGCAACTAAGGTATGTGCCCTGAGTGGGAACCAAACCCAGGTTTCTCTGTACCTCAGGCCGATGCTCTGACCACTGAGCAAACCGGCCAGGGCTATTACCCTACTTTTTAAAAAGACTTTTATGCCCTGTGATTTAATAACGCAGATTTGCAATAAACAATTCAAACTTAGTCAACCCAATCACCCACAGGTCTGCTACATACGTCATATATATCAGGTATTTAAAGGACAGTTTATTGTAGATGTCCAAAAAATGTTCTTTCTCTTCTGATGCCTCTGAGTTTTATAAAATGTTGCTTGTCTTAATAGCATCTGTTCTTACAGTAACTTATAATTTATATAGAATTTATAGTTCTTTTAAGCCCTTCCGATTTATCATTCAATTGAAATTGGTGCCATCTTTATTAGAAAATATCATTGTTTACTTGCCTATTGTCTGTCTTGCACCAACATGTAAGTTCCATGAGGGCAAAGGCTTTCTTGTGTACAGTACCTGCCCCATAGTACATGCTCATTCTACAAATACTTTGACATGCAAAAACACCTCATCTTTTATTAGTCTGATTAAAAACCTTTTTAAAAAAAAGTCATAGTGGTTATCTAAAATAACCCAAGACTATTTTGGTATTTTTTTAGGTTTTTGGAGAACACAGAAAAGAAAAAGAAAAAACGCCCTGGTTTGGCTCAGCGGTTAGAGTGTCAGCCTGCGGTCCAGAGAGACCCGGGTTCGCTTCCCGCTAAGGGCACGTACCTCGGTTGCAGTTTGTCCCTGGCCCTGGTTGGGTAGTGCAGGTGGCAACCACTCGATGTGTCCCTTTCACATAGATGTTTCTCTCTCTCTCTCTCTCTCTCTCTCTCTCCCTCTCTCTTCCTCCCACTCTATCTGAACAAAAATTAGGAAGAAATGTTCTTGGGTGAGGATTAAAAAAAAAAAGAAAAGAAAAAAAATTCACTGGTGATAAATTTATAATTTAGATGAAGACCAGCAAGTATTTGAGTACCTATTTTACTCAGATGTTTTCTATCCCAATAACTTATCTCAAACATAAAGGTAAAAATATTATAATACTTTTCAAGTATTATAACTTTTTCAGCCCGTTTTTAAAAAGCTACTCAGAACATTTAATTTAGTTTATTTGTATATCAGCCTGAGTAAGGTATTTTAAGGGAGACCATTTGTTATAAACAAATTATTTTTATGCCAAGGGAAACAAGTTTGTTTTGTGCAAGACTGAATAATAGTCAAAGAAATACAAATTCAGCCCTGGCCGGTTTGGCTCAGCGTTTAGAGCGTCTGCCTGTGGTCCGGAGAGACCCGGGTTCGGTTCCCGCTAAGGGCATGTACCTCGGTTGCAGTTTGTCCCCGGCCCTGGTTGGTCGTGCGGGTGGCAGCCACTCGATGTGTCCCTTTCACATCGATGTTTCCCTCTCTCTTCCTCTCTCTCCCTCCCACTCTGTCTGTACAAAAAATGGAAAAATGTCCTCGGGTGAGGTTAAAAAAAAAAAAACAAAACAAATTCAGCCAGTAAAGATTAATAAAGATTAAAGAGTGATAATACCCAATTAGATTATAAGAAACTTTACTGATGTGTTAATTAGTAAAACTCTTAGAGCAATTTCAGCAACTTTATTTCAAGATTTCATGCCAGGTTATTAACATTACCAGGTACTGTGCTAAGTAAACATTTTTACTCTTAAGTCAATAATTCCATTTCTAGCTATTTATCTAAAGAAATTTTGGACAGGTACACAAATATGTGTGTCTATTACAGATTATTGATAAAAATGAAAAACTGGAAACTACATATTCAGCAATAGGAAAAATTAGGTCAATAAATAAATTGTTTATACACAATTATAATGTCAGGATACTGATACATTGCTTTAGAAAGATGTTTATTATATGAAGAGGGCATGTAATAGAACAGTGTATAATGATTGTTTCATATTGTTTACTGCACATGGGAAAAAACTCTAGATGTACTCAAACTTTTCATTTATCTTTGGACAACAAAATTAGAAGTGAATTAATTTTACCCCATTCTCTTTTTTTTTCCTCCCCTCAAATAACTTTAGCAATACTGTTCACAGACCTCCTAAAAAGATCTCAGGGACCCCCAGGGCTCCCCATTCTATTCTTGGATACCTATTCTTTAGTTAATAGTTTCAAACATATTAGAACCTCCTGGGTTACTGGTTAAAAGTACTTGACCTTGAACTCGACTAGTCCTACCTCTAGAGATTCCACTTCAGTACATATAGAACAGGACTCGGGAATATTTTTTTAATACACATTCTAGGTATGTCTAAATGTAACACAAAATTATACTTCTCTGATTTTGATACTAAAGTTTTTAAAATTCATTTACCCTACATTTAATGAACATTTGTTTTGTGCAGGGCCCGAAAACTATTAAAAACTATTTAAGGTGATTTAGTACTTTTAAAAGAATAAATACATTTTATTTTATCTAGTACATCAGATCTTGGGTGATCTTGTTAAATAATCTTTTTTCCTGTTGCCTGCTGCCCCAGCTTTTTCTGCCACCCTTCCCCTCCGTGTTGGGTCATGTGGCTTTATTGCCAAAGGCAATGATTTTTCAAACATGAGCTCACGGTAAAGTACTTTTAACTAGTAACCCAGGAGGTTCTGGACAGTCAGGTTTGAAACCATTAACTAAGTAGCAGTTATCAAAGGACCCTTAGTGGGTCCCTGACACCTTTTTAGGGGTCCTTTGAGGTCAAAACTATTCATGATAATAAAATGTCATTTTGCACCAATGGCACAGAGGTAACGAATGGTGGATGACCCTGTTGGTACCTTGACCAGAATGAAGGCAGTGGCACCCATTAGTCATTATATTACTGATTGCAGTAATGTGATGCAGGTGTCATCCAAGAATGTCATTGATGAAGTAGTAAAAATATCAGCTGTGTCACTGAGCACACATCTCTTAACATTCTGTGTGATTTATGAGATACGTAGAAAGAAAGCACTTCTGCATAGTCAGGAATTGTTTTGTGTCGGGAAAAAGGCTCTTGTGTGATTGAGTTGTGAGCTGAAATTTTCCCACTTTTACTTGCGAGAGTGACTGACAAACTGGTTAATCAGACACGGGTTTTTGGCAGACATCTTCTCAAATGAACCAGAGAAAACTGTTGCCAATGATTCACGTCAAGGTTTCAAAAGGAAAAATTAGAATTGGGGAAACTTATAACCACCACTGTGAGCTTGACAGCTTCTCACTACCTAAAGACGTTTCTAATGTGACTAGTGGTAATAGTAATGAGTATGGTGTTTTCATATTGTGATATATTAGAGTAAATGTGATAGAATGAAAAGTTTCAATATTTAGAAAATCTGCATAATTTAGTAAATCTGTATTTTCTAAATGGTTGCTGCAGTATTCTTTCAAAGTTCAAGGTACCCCAGTAGATTTTAATGCAGCTGAGTACAAAAGGTTCGTGGTTGTTATTTCAGTTTGTAGGCAACTGTAAGCATCAGAGGTAAAGTATTAGAGAGGAAATTGAGGCAGAGAAACAAAACCTTCATACATTGGGACCAAGTGTGGAAGACAGCAGTTAAGCACCTTAAATAGCAATGGAACCCTTTATGGAGACATTTTATCTATACATTGAATGCCTAGGAACTTACCAGAAAAAATGGGAAGAAGGGTGTACTAGGCAAGGTAGCAATATATGAACGAACGGATGAAAACGGGAAGCACACAGTATTCGAAGGCCTATGTGCCATGCCAGAGAGGTTGCGGAGGACTGTGAAGATGGATTCACCCAGACCTGAAGTCTTTAATTTGCTTTTTATTGTTAATATAAATATATTCTTTTGATACACAACTGGTTATGACTGAAGGTAACATTAGTGTGTGTGTGCCGTCATCAGAAGACAGTGATTTGGTGGTTGGTTTCTGTGGCACTTGAATCCACCCTTGTTAGCTCTGTGAACATGGATAAATGGATTGGGCTCTGTGCCTCAGTTTCCTGACATGTAAAACGGGGATGAGAATAGCACCCACTATGAATGTTATAACATGCCCAGTCCACAGCAAACTGTCAAATGTCGTAGTGAGAAGTGACTTTCCTCCTGGGAGTTAGTAGTGGCTGCAGACGAAGGGGGTCCACTGGTGTTTCCACTGAGCGCTGCTTCCAGCTCTGCCTTTAACTCTTGCCCTCCTGTTCCGCTGGCGAAAGTCTTAACTTTGCTTATGATAAAATTATTTTCATAACTGGCAGTAACATACTCTGCTGTTCACACACCTTTAAAAACTGTGTTTTATTGTGCTTCTCTCTAAGATTATAAAGTGCCTTCCTTTTACGTCTCTCTTAAAACAAATTTGAAGGTAACGTATTTTTAAATCTGCTGATCTTCAGTATCATAACACTGTCTCCTGGCTCATTAAAAATAAAAAATCCTTTTTGGTGTGTATATACTGCTTCTTTCTGGTATGCCAGGCTTCTTAATGTCAGGTAATCCACTTAACACTTGGCTCAATATCGGCTTTGTAAATACTCCTTGTGTTTTTATTGTAGACAGAGATAATACAAATTTGAATCGTGTTTGTTGGTTTTGTGGCCGAAAGCTTTTTATTGATACTGCTTTTCCCTTGTTTGAAGAAATCTGTTAGGGATTATGAGAGAGCTGTTGGTAAGTATTCTGCAGTCTTTTTCCTGTATGGAAATTGATGTTTTTTAACTTCTCCCTTCACTTCCCAATGTTTGTGTACTTGGTACAGTGGCCGGTAGTATAACGAGGACTTTTACTTCTTTTTCAGATTATTTTTGGTGAAAAAACTTAAAGAAGTAACAGATAAAAAGAAAACTAGTCTCTTGAAAAGCATAGATGAAAGACTCACAGAAGCAGCCAGAGAACTGGGATACTCACTGGAACAGAGGACCGTGAAGATGAAGCAGAGAGATAAGAAAGTATGATTTTAAATCTGTTAGCCACTGGCTGTTTTGTATTTTAATAGGGTGTTTTTCCCTCTCTTGACTCCTTCCCACATGCACCTTATCCTCTCCTCACCTGCTGCCCCATCCTAAGGAGAGCTGGACTTCACCCCAGGGGCCCCCTCCAGGGCTGTGCAACACCTGGACAGCCAGGAGGGTAGCACTAGAGCAGGGGCACTCTGGCTCGTTAAACAGGCTGAGTAACCTGATATATTGCTACCGTGGTTGCATAACTCATGCCAGGATAGCCTACTCTTTTTTTGTTCTTTGTTTATCCTCACCTGAGGACATTTTTGCATTTGTTTTTAGATAGAGTGGGAGGGAGAGAGAGGAAGAGGGAGGAAGAGAGAGAGAGACAGACATTGATGTGAGAGAAGCACATCAACTGGCTACCACCCACACAACCCCAACCGGGGCCAGGGACAAACTGCAACCGAGGTACATACGTGCCCTTAGTGGGAACTGAACCTCAGAGTCTCTGGTCTGCGGGCCGACACTAACTGCTGAGCCAAACCGGCCAGGGTGCGGATAGCCCATTCTTTTAATCCTGTTTTACCAGTTATTCATTTCATAACATTGAGTGAAAGCAGCTTTGTACCTAACTTACTTAAATTTCTTTTTTTATCCTCACCCAAGGACATTTTTGCATTTATCTTCAGATAGAGTGGAAGGAAGAGAGAGAGAAACATTGATGTGAGAGAGACACATTGACTGGTTGCCACCCACATGACCCCAACCAGGGCTGGGGACAAACTGCAACCGAACCCGGGCCTCTCGGGTCTGCGGGTCGATGTTCTAACACTGAGCCAAACCGGCCAGGGCTAAATGTTTTTTTTAATGGGTAAGGTCGGAGGGGCTCATGATTTAGTGCAAGGTGTCTTTGGCCGTAGTTTTGTAAACGTATGCGTCAGAGAGCTTTATTTAAGGCCTCAAAGGTGGTTCTCTTTTGAGAGAGACTGTGTATTAAGATTTATTCGTTTCCTCCAGTAAATGTGGACTGAGCAGTCCTCTCTCGCTTTCCCTTATTGATACCATCACCATCTCCTGTTGCATCTCCTAATGCCTACAGAGTGAATGGAGTGTTTTGGATTCTTTTGGTTTATCACTCACAAATATCAGAGTAAGTTAACAGACAAGCTAGAATCTGCTTTGGGGTAAATAAGAGTTCTATAGGAGTTTGTTTCTTACAACCTCTGGGGAGGAAGGACACGTTTCACTGTGGAATGAGGGCACTCCAGTCTCCGTCAGCCTCTCACCATTGTCTGCTGATCATCTGAATGTTCTAGGCCAAATGAAGTACCATTTATTCCTGAACAAAGTAGTACAGGTAACGAAGTACTTTAGTGTACTTAGTTATTTAAAATCCTACTTCAGTTCCTTCTCTGATCATGACTCAACTGTAGGGTGATAATGTTCTGGTAAATTAGTCACCAAACTGCATTGTTAGCAGTTCTTTCTTTCATCCTACAGACTGGAAACAGTTTATAAAAATGTATTTGAAACTCACTTCAATGGGGCATTTTTTTTTATTTTTTAAATTTTATGTTGCCATTTTACCTTTCTAGTTTTCATAGGGAGCCTCTCCCACCCTTGAGAAAGAGAGAGAGCATTTCTTATCTCATTATTATGTATTCCTAATTCTTGACTAAAGACTAAGCTTGTAGGTACAGAACAGCTGTTAGCAAATTCTTTCATCAGAACCTTGTTTTATTTTTTAACCATCAACTATCATTTATTTCAAATGGGATTTCCTTAATTTTTCCCATAGCTATAAATAAAATATGATGGGGTTAAACTTCATAGGTATATTTGTCCTGGTCTGCTCCCCAATGTTTGCATATTTTTTAAAAACAGCTGCTAAAAATATAAATACAACTTAAAAAAGAACTTATAAGACAACCATTTTATCTTACCAAACACGTTGATTATGCTTTCATATTCGAGTTTGTTCTTTGTTGTTATGTAATCTCCATTTAATTCATAATTTTCTAGTCCTGAAAAATTTAGCTCCACTAGTATATATGACTTAATGACTTTGTCCTTGTGTGTGAAAGCAGTAATATATTCATTCCAGTATAATAGACTACAATACAATACATTAGAAATCGTGTTTCTATACTGACAGTACCTACAGTGCTTTGGAATGCAAAGTCCTTATGAGTTGCCTCATTTGACCCTCACAGCAAATCTGCAGAGCAGGTAGGAATTATCATCCAATTTTAGAGATAAGTAAATCAAGGTTTACAGAGGCTTTGTTCTTTGTCCAGAATCATAAGTGAGTCAGACCTAAATTCACATCTTTAATATTTAGCATTCTTTCTACCTGATTCTTTCCACCCCATCTTCCTACTACTAATTGGCCACCTGCCACTTTGCCTTTTTTTTATTCCTAGATTTCTTATTAAAAATGAACTTTGAAGTAATGATGTCATAAAATTGAGGGTTTATCATTCTACCCATCTCTGATCCTAATGCCTTAGGATATCACCACCCTTGTACAGGGTTTTCCTAAGTTTGTATTCCTATTCTTCATAATAAAATTAGGATTCTCATGTTTTGCTAACTATTAATACCTCTTTATAGACAATTAGTACAGTTTATCATCTGTGGAAAATGTGAAAATACTTACAATGGTTTTGTTGTGTGTCAGTGTAAGATAAGTCAGTGCACATATATCACGTTTTCTTTATCAGTACTCTTTTATGACCTGCTTTATAAACTTTTGAATATATTATGATTATCACTTCATATTGCTGAATATAAGATCTGCCTCATAATTTCGAGAAGTTGCAGAGCACTGTGCTCGTGTTCCAAGTTTAGGTTGCTTAAAATTTTTCAAACAACCTTGCCATAAATATCCTTATATACCTTTATTTGCACATTTATCTGCTTATTTCCTTAGAAGAAATTCCTAGAATTAAGTTTTGTCAGGTCTACACTGGTCGTAAGGTGATTGTGTGTGCGCGCATTTTGTTTTTCTTTGCTTCTCTTTAATTGTGTTGGTTACATTATTTGCAAAACTGCCCTATGTGTATAATATTCCCACTAGCAATGTATGAGCACCTGTTTTCTCCATATCCTTACCAGTACTGGGTATTATCAGTCCTCTTAATAATACTTCCTTGTTTTAATTCTTTGATTATAAAGGACATTGTTTTTTACTTATCTGTTGGTCATTTGTATTTCTTTTGTGAATTACCTGAATTTTGCCCATTTTTCTGTCAGGGTTAGAATTAGTCTTTTTTCTTCCTTATGTTTTAATTTGGGTGTTACACTTTTCCTTTATTTTTAAGACTCTTTTATAAAGATATTAATCTTTATTAATTTTATTATTTGTATATTACAGATATTTTTCATGTTAATTTTTCTTAATTTGTTTTTATTTATTCTTGATAGATTTTTTTAATAAATTTTTTTTCCTTTATTAATTTTTAGAGAGAGAAAGGGAGAGGGAGAGAGAGAGAGAAACATCGATGAGAGAGAACATCGATTGACCGCATCGATTGGCGACCTCTTAGTGCATGGGTCAACGATCAACCACTGAGCCATACCAGCCAGGCTTGATAGGTTTTTTTAAATATTTGAATCTAAAAGCCTTTTCTTTCTCTAATCCAAAATTATTTTTAAAACTTTCTATTAGTTTTATGGTTTTATTTTTACATTTAATCTTAAAATCTAACTGCAAGCTATTGTGGCATAAAGAGTAGGATATAGTTATGACTTGATTTGTTTTTTCTCAAGTGTGAGCAATTGTCTGTGAACTTCTTGAACAATCTGTTCCGGTGGTTACTTACTAAGAGATAATTAAAGCAGCAGCACAGTGGGGACATTATAGTAAAGTAAGATACAGACTTGGGTGCAGAGTAGTTTATTTGGAAGGAGGGGTTGTGTCCCTCTCTGTCAGGGATTTTTACTGGTCTACACAAAGGTGGAATATGTGAAGCAGGTGTTTTGTTACTGAAAGACCTAAGAATAATGTCACTAGTGCAAATAGAGAGAATATAGATTGGAAGGGTTATGATGGTGGCTGTAGTTGGTTGTTTCTGTCTTTGGAGATTACCACTTAGTAATAGCTCACTGGTTTTGTTATTTGCCTCCATAAAGGTTACCAAAAAACTAGAAACTACCCTGCTTTGGGGAAGTTTGCACACAAGCCTGAATTTTCCAGCTAAAAATAGCCCTGGCCGGTTTGGCTCAGTGGTTAGAGCGTCAGCCTGCGGTCCGGAGAGACCCGGGTTCGGTTCCCGCTAAGGGCGTGTACCTCAGTTGCAGTTTGTCCCCGGCCCTGGTCGGTCGTGCGGGTGGCAGCCACTCGATGTGTTCCTTGCACATCAATGTTTCTCTCTCTCACTCCATTCCTCGCTCTCCCTCCCACTCTATCTGAACAAAAAATGGAAAAGTGTCCTCCGGTGAGGATAAAAAAAAAATAAAAATAAAAAAATAATGGGCATAACTTTGGCAAGATGAGTGAGAGGAATTCTGTGCTACTTCATCTTCCTGCTAACAAAAACTATTCCTTCTCTTTTAGGCCCGGTTCCTATGCCTTCTACCTAAAAGACACTTGACCTTAGAGCAGCGGTTCTCAACCTTCCTAATACCGCGACCGTTTAATACAATTCCTCATGTTGTGGTGACCCCCAGTCATAAAATTATTTTCATTGCTACTTCATAACTGTAATTTTGCTACTGTTATGTCTTAGGCAACCCCTGTGAAAGGGTCATTCGACCCCCCAAAGTGGTCATGAGAACCGCTGTCTTAGAGGAAACTGATATTCTGGCTTGCATTGGCCTTCTTCCCTCACAAAGCAGGCTGCAGACTTGTAAATGACGACACGGTTAACAACAGCCAGTCATTCCACTGCTTTATAATTGCTTGAAGGGCTTGACTTTTAGCTGATTTTAAAGAAAAGGAATATTAAACTTTTGCCCTGGCATCCAAATTTACTGAAATAAAATGTCATTAAATTTATATTTTGACAGAAACGTTGAGGGTTTGTGTGTGTGTTTTGTTGGGTTTGGGTGAGTTTGTTTTATTTACCGTGATTAAATTTTATTTTATTTTTTTTAACTTAGGTCGTGACAAAGACCTTTCATAGTGCAGGCTTGGTGGTTCCAGTGGATAAAAATGAAGTTGGGTACAGAGAGCTCCCTGAGACAGATGGTAATGTATTTCTTATGTACGCGTGCATATGTGAACATATGTATGTTAACATGTGTGCAGGAGGGTTTTCCTTATGTGGAGCCGTAGTACCTACAGATGCCTTTTGTGGGCAGTCACTGGGCCTTAGTAACAGACCAAGCTCAGGTCTGAGGGCCAGAATCAAAACTGGGCTTGTAGCTGTGTGACCTTGAGCAAAGTATTTAACCTCACTAAACCTTGTCATTTTTATCTGTAAAATGGTTAATAATGGTGAATACCATTTACAGGGAAGAGTTAGGGGTGTAAAAATGTAAGATCTTAGCACGTTGCATGTCTTATAGTGCTTAAAATGTAGTAGTTATGAGTTTAGGGACTTTTGACCTATTGCCTAGGTTACATTTTCTGAAATACTTCAGAACCTTTGACATTAGTCAACATGCAAAATAGTAATTATTGACTAGTATGTTTTTATGTAGTCTTTTGCAAAAAGTTTTTCATCTGCATATAAGTTACCTTAGCATTCTCAAGCCCAAGATCCTGAACTGCTTCATGTGTATGAAAACACTTTGAAAATGGACTATTCATACACAAATATAATTGCTGCTATGTTGAGGAAACTAAATCACTTCTCAACACTTTGCCCTCCCCTGTATTTCCCTTCTTACTTTGAACATCCCTGTTGGCATTGCCCTATTTTTTTTCATCCTGTTCCAGAGAAGATACAACTTAGAAGTCAAAATTAGCACTTCTCAAGGAAGAACTGAGTATTCCTGTCCAGCATGTGCATTTGGCCATGTTTTAAACAGAACCAACCGGACTGGGCTGGTAGTCTCTGGCTTTGGGACCTAGAAACCTACGTTCTTAACCAGTTCTCTACGGCTATTCTCTTAAGCTGTTCTCAAATTTGACTGTGCAGTCTCTGGGCAGTAGATTGAGATGTCTGATATCAGTTACTCAGCTGTGGTTTTTGCCAGCTTCATACTGCAGTAGAGGAATTCCCCGGGGAAATGAGTATGGCTGGGCTGTAGAACATGGCAGGCTAGCCTACATGTGGCTGAGCACTTCAACTGTGGCTAGTGTGGCTAAGAAGAATTTGTAATTTTGATTTTAATTCATTTGTTTATATTACACACCGAAATGATTATTTTGGATAGTTGGATTAAATTATCTTAAAATTAATTTCATGTTCCTTTTTTAATGTGGATATGAGACAAGGTATTTGCATATGAAGTCTGCATTGTATTTATTGGACAGGGTAATCTGTCCCTCTGTCCCACTGTCCACCTCTCCTTCCTGAATCAGAGGTAATCTGTCTGTGACGGGGAAGGCGTGTGGGCTCTAGTTTACTGTGCAGTGTTCGGCTTATATTCTCTTCCTGCCTCTGCACACTAGTCCATTCCAAGCTTTCGCAGGCAGAATGACTGTCTGTTTGGGAAAGGTTGAGAACATTTGTTACAGAAGAAGCAGTCTCTAAAACTAAGGGGTGGTGGGTTTTAAATCATAGTGCCTGGAATAAGCCCTGTTACTCTCCCCTGGTGGTGGTTCTGGGGTTTTATGTCCTAGATCTTTTTATTTCCATTTACTTTTTTCTAACATTCTAGACATTAAATCCTTGAGTGGTTTTAATTATTTTTGAATGAGAAGTGGTAGCAAAACATAAAGGACCTCCTGTCATCTTGGTCCTGCCTAGTGTTGTTTGCTAGGAGTATTGACAGGCAGTGTATCAGTGTGTAACAGTGTCAACAAATCACAGAATGATATTCATACACTGAAGTTAACCCTCATAAAACTTTACCACTCTTGATAATCCTTATACTTTATATTTGTAGTATCAGTAAAATGTTATGCCTCATACATACAACTTGATAATCACGTATCACTCTTAGGTGTGATTAAGGTTTCCTTGTCTCCCCAGTATAGTAGCCACATTTAAAGATGTGTTTTTGTTGGTTTGAGTAATCACCATCCTTTTCTTTAGTGGATCATCTTCAAGAAGGTAGTTTATCAAAATGTAAGTCTAGCTCTGGCCAGTTTGGCTCAGCGGTTAGAGCGTCCGCCTATGAACTGATGAGTTGCAGGTTCGATTCCAGTCAAGGGCACATATCTCTGTTGGGATTTGTCCTTGGCCTGGTTGGGGTTATGCAGGAGGCAGCCACTCAATGTGTCCCTTTCACCTCTCTCTCTCTCTCTCTCTCTCTGTCTCTGTCTCTGTCTCTCTCTGTCTCTCTGTCTCTGCTCTTCCTTTCTCCCTCCCACTCCATCTGAATAAAAATGGAGACATGTCCTCGGGTGAGGATAAAAAAAAAAGGAAGTCTAATTAGATATTGTTCATTATCTTCATTCTCATAGGCATCCTGAGATCTGACACACATTAGCATCCAGGAGGTAGTAAGAAAATGTTGAAAGCCAAAATAGAAATGTTAAACCACTGTTCTCTATATGTAGATAAATGTTAGAAATTTTCTGTGTTCTTTCTTCAAATTACATTTCTGCCATGGCTGCACTGCCTACCCCCAGGTTGGTCAAGGCTTCGTTCTGCAGTGATTTGTCACCGGTTTTATTGTCGTCTTTTCCTGTACTTTTTAAATAAAGTAGGATAGGGCAAAAAAGAGTAAACTTTATTATAGTCTATTTGGATTTTGTTTAATCCAACTCTTAATAAAAACTATCCCAGGGATGGGTTACCTATGGTCTCTGTTGCTATATTATTTGCTTTTTTCCGACCTTTTAAAAATGGAAAGACATTCTTAGCTTGAGGGCAGTTAGAAACGGTAGTTGGGACCTGGCCAGTGTGGCTCTGTTGGTTGGAGCACCATCCATGCTGCACTGAAAGGTCACAGGTTCAATCCCCAATCAAGGCTTGTATGGAGGCAACCAATCAATGTCTCTCTCTCTCTCTGACTGTCTTCCCCCCAAAAAAATAAAAATCTTTCAACAACAATAAAAAAAAAGAAACAAACAAAGGGGTGGGGGACAAAACAGGTTGGGCGAGGTAGTTTGGCCTCAGTTTGCCAATCCTTAGACTAGCCTACTGAACATTGTTGAAAGCTTAGTAAAATCACGATTACAACCAGATCCGCTGTGAAACACTGACATTTTGTTAGTACAAGAAATCATTTTGTTAAGCCATTTTTATGCTTAAATCTTAATTAGGAAAATTATAAAATCGCCATTCTAAATTATGGTGCCAAAAAGGTTGTATCAATTGTATGAAAAGTCCTATGAAGAAAAAAAACCTAGCTTGTGTCCGGCCAGTGTGGCTCAGTGGTTGAGTGTTGACCCACGCACCAAGAGATCGCCAGTTCGATTCACCGTCAGGGCACATGCCCAGGTTGTGGGCCTGATCCCCAGTGGGGAGCATGCAGGAAGCAGCCAGTTGATGTTCTCTCTCATCAATGTTTCTGTCTCTCTCTCCCTCTCACTTCCTCTCTCTCTAAAATCAATAAAGAAAAAAAAATTTTTAAAAACCCAGCTTGTATTTTTACCTTCGAAAATGGTGATAGATAATTTTTAATATCATCGATTTCTTCCAGCTAACCTCAAGAGAATTTGCAAGGCAATTGTCGAGGCACCGAGTGATGAGGAGAGACTAAAAGCTTTTGCTCCCATCCAGGAAATGATGACTTTTGTGCAGTTTGCTAATGATGAATGTGACTATGGCATGGGGCTCGAGTTGGGAATGGACCTCTTTTGTTATGGTTCCCACGTGAGTAAAAAAAATCACCACCATGCCTGGCTGGCGTGGCTCAGTATTAAGTGTTGTCCCATGGACTGAGAGGTCCTGGTTCGATTCCCTGTGTGTGTGTGTGTTTGTGGGCTCGATCCCCAGTAGGGGGCATGCAGGAGGCAGCTGATCAATGTTTCTCTCTCTCTCTCTCTCTCTCCCTTCCTCTCTCTAAAAAAAAAATCAATAAACACATTTTTTTTTTAAATCACCACCAAACCTCCCTCCTGTCCCGCACCCCTGTACACACACGCATACACACACATGCATATTATATCCCCAAGTTCTAGATAGGTAGGACATATATTTCAAGGGAACTTTTTGAAGTGATCTTTAAGCAGATGTTTTTTTAAATATCTTTTACTTGAAACTCATCATCTATTCTGGCAAAGGTGAATAACCAAGATTATGTGCCTTCAGGTTTACATTAAACAGAATGTATGTATTAGACACAGTGTCGGGACATGCATGTGTGTGGGTGTGCACACACCTTTCCTGGGGCTCCATTTCATTTCCTGTGATGGGGGCCATATTTGTTCTTGTGCTTGAATTCTTAGAGGAAGAATAAGTACTATTTTAATATAGGCTTTAAATTATTTAAAATAATGAGATGCTAGTCTATAATTAACTATTTGCTAAATAGGAAAAACATACCCAACAGTTAAAATGGTGTTTTCTCAGCTGCAGTTGCCTCAAATTCAAAGAGGCAGTAAGATGTAGTGGCCACAGCATGATTCTAGGGCTAACCTATTTGGTTTTAAATTACTCCTCCCCACTTAAAAGCTGTGTAAGATGGACAGTTTCTCCAACACCTTTGTCTGTCTCCTTACATGTAAAATATGTCTGCACACAGACCAGTTAATTCCATTTAACCTATGATGTCACCTGTGAAGCAGAGAGAGGTTAACCATCTTGCACAGGCTGTCTGGTTCTGGAGTCAATATCTGTCAGTAATTCCCAAACTGTAAAGTCCATGGGAATCACTAGAGATACTGTTAAAATGCAGGCTGTTTCTGTAGATCTGGGGTGAATACTGAGGTGCTGCGCATGCTCCCATTGATGGTCATGCTGCTGCTCTGCACATGCTCCGAGGGGCCGGACTAAGCCAGCAGCTCGCATTGGCATGCGTCAGAATCCTCTGTTCACACACATGGTGCATCCCACCCTCCAAAGTTGAAGTTCTTGGGTGGGTCATGAGAATTTGCATTTCTGACAAGTTGCTGGGTCTGGTGAGTCTCATTTGAGAACTCTGCTCTAAACCACATTACTGTTGTTTTTCTGCCTTCCTCATACATGGTTGTCAGTAAAAATACCCACGTTTGACAGCCAGAATTACAGTCCTTTACCAGCCAGGATAGTGCTTGGCCTGCCAGAAAATTAACCAGCTTGATAAAAAACGTGATTGTTGTGAAAGTTAAATACCATATAAGAATATATGAAAAGGTTTTTTAGCACAGGATTTAGCACATATTAAGTGCTAATTATTGTTTATCAAAAAAAGCACTGCCAGTTTTTCTTCTAGTAAATAGTAGTAGTCTAAGGCACTTGATAAACCCAAGGCAGTGACTTAAAGGATGGAAGGGGTTACATGGTAGGCAGGAGGGAGAGAAGAAATTTGAAAAGGGAGTGATTTAAAAACTTAAATTCAGCATAACTACAGTGATACCTCGGTTCTCGAACATAATTCGTTCCAGGAGGACGGTCGAGAACCAAATTGTTCCAGAACCGAAGCAATGAAACCAATAGGAAATAATGGAAACTGGATTAATTCGTTCCAAGCCCCAGAAAATGCCTATTTACTGGCCTAATTTGTATATAATATGTAGAAAAACATAAGTCTCAACAAGAAATAAAAGTGTACAGTATGTCTAAGGGTTCAATTCAGTGTAAAGCGTGACTCTCTCCACAAAGCGTGACTCTCTCTCTGCACTCACACTGATGACGCAAGCAAGGGGACGAATGAACGCCATTCGGCTCAACTCGGCTCATCTCGGAAGTTCGAGTTCCAAATATTTGTTCGGATTCCAAGACAAAAGTTTCTCGAATCTCCTGGTCGAATACCGATTTGGTCGAAATCCGAGGCGTTCGAGAACCGAGGTATCACTGTATTCTTAAAGTATCACCCAAGGAAAGTAATGATTAAAATCTTAACTAGTAGGTATACACTGAAGAGATGGAAAAAGCATTTGAGCATATAGTTTGGAGCAAATAAAAAAGGTTGTTGCCCTGCCTGGTTTTGCTCAGTGGTTAGAGTGTCGGCCTGTGAACCAGAGAGTCCCAGGTTCAGTTCCCACTAAGGGCATGTACCTCAGTTGCAGTTTGTCCCCAGCCCCGGTTGGAGTTGTGTGGGTGGCAGCCAGTCAATGTCTCTCTCATTGATGTTTCTCTCTCTCTCCCTCCCATTCTATCTGAAGAAAAAGACAAAAATGTCCTCGGGTAAGGATAAAAGAAAAAAAAAAAAGGTTGTTAAACCTTAACCTTATCTAAGGGAATGGGGAAGCTTACATTTTTAACTTGGTTTTCTTCTGAATTTCCTTCAAAATATACCATCAGTTCTTTAGAGCTACCCGATTGTCTCTTGGACAGAGTGCCATAGGTTGTCTCAAAATTTAGTCTTAAGCAGTTGAGAAAGCTATTATGATTTGGGGAGTGTGCTTTGTTAGACGAGTGCTTTTTCTATGTATTTTTTTTATCCTCACCTGAGGACATTTTTGTGTTTATCTTCAGATAGAGCAGGAGGGAGAGTGGGAGAGAGAGAGAAACATCGATGTGAGAGAAACACATCAACCGGTTGCCACCCACACGACCCCAACCAGGGCCGGGGACAAACTGCAACCAAGGTACTTGCTCTTAGCGGGAACTGAACCTAGGTTCTCTGGTCCATAGGCCGATGCTCTAACCGCTGAGCCAAACCGGCCAGGGCACTATGTATTTTGTGATACACGAGCATCTGGTTTATTCTCTGCTTAATGTTATTCTTTTATTTTTCAGTATTTTCATAAAGTTGCTGGCCAGCTTTTACCTCTTGCATATAATCTGTTGAAGAGGAATCTCTTTGCAGAAATTATTGAAGATCATCTGGCAAACAGAAGTAAAGAGGACTTAGACCAGCTTTCAGCGTGAGTTCGAGCTGGCTTTCCTTGGTGTACATTATTTTAAAGGCTTAAAATATTAAACTTGTGATTTTGTTTTTAAGGGATACAAAAAATAAATTGATGGAAACATTTACTAAAACTTGTATAAATCCCTTCTGGCCTGGTTTTCTTTTTCATGTGCAAATAAATGGCAGCCAAATCATCTAGGCGGTGAGGCCCTAGTCACGTTGGAAAAAAGTCACCCTCTAATGCAGTGGTTCTCAGCCTGTGTGTGGGTCGCGACCCCTTTCACACAACGTCACCTAAGACCACTGGAAAACACATTTCCGATGGTCTTAGGAACCGAGACACCGCACCTCTGTCTCCAGGCGGGTCCGCCCACATGCAGATACACCCACATACATGAGGAACTGTGTTAAAGGGTCGCGGCATTAGGAAGGTTGAGAACCACTGCACAGGAAGTCACTGCCCAATGCCTGTGGACAACCACCCCTTCCTCTCCTCCCAGGGAGTCCTGTGTTAGTATTCAGCATGGGCAACTAAGAATTTATTTCTGAGACTAAGTTAATAGCTGTAGCTTTAAGGATTGGATTCATGGAGGGTAGGAAACCCGGGAGACTGCACCAGGCACTCTCGCAGAGTCCCTGACCGGGTCTAATGGAGCTGCATTTCAGCAGCATCTCCTGACTCGTGTATCCTCCCCAGTAGTGCAGTTATCCTGTTCGGAATGTTCCTTAAAGCGATTCTCCTTTGACTCTGTATTTACTAATCAATAATGCACAGTGTATTGATATAGCATAATATAGTAGACAAATCAATAAACTATTTAGATTTTAGTTTTCCATTGCAAATGACTTCATTGGACTTCCAGTACAAATCTGTGGAGAGCTGTGTTTTACCAGATTCAGATCCTCATTAAACGTCCTTCACTTGAAAAACAGCAAACCATGAAATGTAAAATAGCAAACTGTGGATCGGGCTCAAGAGCCTATAAGCGCTCTCCCATTCCTATGAAGTTCAAAAAAAGCCCTGGGGTTCTCTGGTTTAGTCCCCACATCTGCAGTCCCCAAAATTACTTCCTCTGTGAGTTGTGTCCTTAAACAGACCTTATGAGATACTTAATGTTTGTGATAAAAGGACTGAGTGGACTATTAAAAAGAAACATCGTCAGGATGTTTAATTGAGGAGCATATCTCATCTCCAGTTACACTGTAAGCTTTTAAGAACATGGATTTTATGAGTAAATAGCCTTCCTAGCCACATAAACCCCACATAAACCTTTGAATGTACGTGTGGCTGGAGAAAAAAAAAAACAGAACCATGAAGACTGGTCTCATTTTAACCTCAAGTTGGTCATGCTACCACCTATCCCACTTCCACATCTTTCCTCAAATAGGCAACACCTCCTCCATCCTCAGTTTATTTCTCTGAAAAAATAGAAGCAATCAACTTCCAGGGAATCTCACTGCAGTACTAGCTACCCATTCCTATGAATGTCGCTTACTGTCCTGCTGTGTGCCCGAGATGCTATCCCTTTTAGCTACTCGAGGACCTCTGAGTTAATCAGTTTCCCTCTCCTGCATTCCCAACAAAAGCTATAATGTCCTGCAACTCAAACTACCCTTTATCGTACATCCCTTTTCTGAAAAACTCAGGGAGAGCTTTAGTAACTGCCTTTAATTCTTTCCAATCTGGCAAAACCTACTCCAATCAGACTTTAGCCTGATCCACTGAAACTGCTTTGGTCAACCTCCACACTGCCCAATTTTCAGTCCTTTACCTGTCCACACCGCCTGACAGTTGATCCTCCTTAAGACTACCATTCATTTGGCCCAGGGGACTGCCCTTGTCTTAATGGCCCCAATCCCCTCCCTACCTCACTGCTGCTCCCTCTTGCTGACTCATCTCAGCTCTAAACATACAGATGCATCAATGCTCAGTCCTTTCTGTCCACTTAACCCCATGGTGGCCTTTTCCTGTCCCGGGGTACTTCCCACAGTCTAGATCTCTCAGGTGAAACTTGAGTCTCTCACATGCCTGCTTGACATCCCTACTTGGAAGTCTAAAAGGCATTTAAAACGTAATGTCTAAAACCAAAATCTCTCTGTACACATCCCAATCTATTCTTCATGACACCTTTCCCACTTCAGTCAGTGGCCAGTCCATTGTTCTGTACTCAGGCCAAAAACCTTGGTGACATCCTTTACTCTCCTCACTCCACATTCAACCCATTAGCAGAGCCTGTCTCTTCCACCTTCAGAATGTCTGGAATCCAACCACTGGAACTGCTTCCGCCAGCTCATCAGAACCGGCCTCTCAGTAACTTACCTTGATTATGCCAAGAGCCTTTGGCTGGTTGGTCTTCTGCTTCCACCCCGCCCCCTTCCAGTTTATTCCAGGCAAAGCAACCAAGAGATGACGTCACTGTCTGCCTCACTGACTTTTCCATTTTATTCAGGATAAAAGCCAAATTCCTACACACCCAACTTCTTTCCTCATCTTACACCTTTTCCCCTCCAGCCAGTGACCTACTTACTGTTCCATGTGTCTGTCAGGCATGTCCTACACCCACAGATAACTATCATTTCTCTCTTTAGGTTCTGCTCAAAGGTCACCTTATCCCTGAGGCCTTCCTTGATCACCCTCTATAAAAATAGCATCCTCCCCATTATATTTCTCCTTCAGAATTTTGTCTGATTTATGTATGGCATTTTTTTAAAATGTAGGAATCATTTTTTTGGATCTGCTGAATTTATCACCATCTGACATCTATGTATTTGTCTCTTTCCCTACTGGGATGTAAGCTTCAAGAACAGAGAATAATGCCTAGCACACAGTAAATGTTCAATAACTACATAGTGAATGATTCAATGAAATGAATGAGAAAAGATCTATCCTTGAATTTTTAGTCAAGTGCTTTCATCTTTACTAGAAGTTTAATATTAGTAGACTGCTGAAGTCTTTTTTACCACCTCCTTTTAGGCAATTCTATAGTATAGCAAACTTCCAAGGTAAACCTTTGAAATGGAAATCCTTCACATGCTTTCTCTTCATGCAAACAGCATTTTTTTTTTTTTTAAATCATGGTTCTGAAAGGAAAAGGAAATGAAATCTTTCTGTAAATCCGCAGCTTCCACTGGCACCTACACTATTGCTACTATGTAGCTACCCTGGAGCTCTATCCAGCATCCACTGTGTGGTTGCTCCTTGCTTGCAAAGTGCAGAAAGGGCTTTGTAACCGGAGAGAAGCTTTCCATGTATAACCCCAGTGTGCCACGCATATTGGCCTACACTGCAAAGAGCAGTAAAAATGGGAGGGCTGTGACATAATTGAAGGGCAAACCACACATTGTCATATAGATTTTAATAGAGATTCTGATTAACTCATCACAGTAATTCATTTTTACTGTAATGATATGCAGCTTTACTACACTAGTATAAATAAAAACAGATAAATACAGCTCTAGGCAACATCACAGATTAACAAACTAAGCATTCTTCATGAACCAAAACTGAAAACAATTATTAATAAGAGATGCTGACACCTTTGCCCATTCTCATCATACCTTCTCAAAAAGGGTACTCAAATAAGGTGCTCCAATTATTATTTGCCAATCAACCAGGCACATATATTTCATGGTCTCCACTATTTCACAGTTTGGTTAAAAAGCAGACATACCTCAACATATCAAAAAGAAAAATGGAACGGATAGCAATACCAAAGAAAACCACTGGAGGCATAAAAATATGGCACTTTTCCTGTATATTTCAGCTGTAAGACACATCAGGGATAGAAATACATCAAGAAGAAAGTTAATATCCACCTTGAATGTTCACCCTGAAATGTCAGTCTCTGAAGCAGGATGGACAATGAAAGGTGGACCTAAAATCAAAAAGAAAACATGAAAAATGATATCCATGTGAAGTTTAATGTTATGAAGCAAAGAAACCTGTTTCTCCCTTGAAGGCTTATAACTGAGGACCAGGGATTAAATTACTCAGTAGCCACTGTGGAGGAATTCACACTCAAGCAGCGCCTTGCACACGGCCAGTACACTGAAAACAAGCCGGAGATAAGATACACAGAACTATCTAGAAATGATTTCACTTTGGACAGTCAAATAAACTTTGAAGGGGCCATTAAGAAAACTTGAAGTCTGCCAAAATGGGGAAGTGTGTTGGACAAAAGACTAATTTTAGATAGCAAAACTAAGAATGTGTCACAAAATTCCTAAAATTCTGTTCAACTTTCAATTGTCATTCGAATATGGCTTCATGTTCTTACCGATCTTATGTGATCTTACAGATATATTATTATTAAAAACTAGAAAGTGAAGAATCACTTCCAAAAAAAGCAGCTCATTGCCAGTTTGTTTCAAAAAATGTCTGCAAAAATTGACTTTCCAACCAAAAATGCATTACCACCACAGAATATTTAGGCCAGTCTTTCAAGTAAACTGCCTTTGCCGATATTGAATTAAGACCACGATTAAGACAGACATTTCCAAAAACAACAAATCCCAAACGCACCCCAGGACATTTTCAACTCATCCTGCAAAAATGTGCACTGTGAAGTCAAAACATCGTCACTTCTGAATGTGACATGCCCAAAGATCCAAAGGTTATGTTCCAATTACAATTTTAACTGCTACCTTTGCAACTTTATTATTTTTTTAAAAACGTAAACACTATTTAACATTTGATTTTAATCTGCAAAGTGATTTTGTAGTGTTTCATCTTTCCAGTTCATGAGTCAGAATGGACAGGTCAGAAGACAGAACCCAGGGGATGGCAGTGAAAGATCAGAGAAAGGTTATGTACACGAGATCATAGAGAAACCACCACCTCGCTTAAACCCTTATTCCCACTGTAAACTTTGTTCATAGCTCCATATTTGTAAGTCTGAATTAGTCTATAAAAATCACATTAAAAAGGTAAAATTATTTAAGTGAGATATTAACTGATCTGTATTTTATAAATTTTAATCCATAAAAATATAAATAAGAATGGTAAATTTTTAAGAAAAGAAATATACATTTAGTGCAAGTTATGAATTACATTTCTTCTTCAGTGTCAGCAGTAAAATACCTTGAGGAAAGAAAAAAATGACTGATCTAATTTCAAGAAAGAAAAAAAAATTCCAGTGTTTAAACATGCAGTTAATACCAGATACAGCTCAACAGAATATTTCCTCCTCCTTACTGTCAGAGCAGCAGCATTTTGTTTCCGTATGTTGAACAGTAGTTGTCTATCAGAGTAGTTATGCATAAGACCAGGTCACATTATCCATAAAGTCTGAGAGGAAAATAAACAGAAAACTTTATCCTCATGAGTCCCATTTCATTGCAGACTCTGAGCCACACAGCACACAAGCTGCGAGCTCATCCACGCTTGGCGGAGACTGTGCCTTTGTGATCAGCCTTCACTGCAGTGCACAAGGCTGCTCCAAGAACGCTCATGGCGCACACTACACGGGCAGTGGCACAAGAAACACTCCCTTCTTGTGATGAGACCTCAGCAAAATCACAGTACATCTCAATATGAGAAAGGACTGCTTCCAAAGGGCACACCATTTAAGAGGCTTTGTTAGAGAGAGAGAGAGAGGGAGGGAGGGAGCGAGAGGAAGAGACAGAAAGAGAGGGAGGGAGGGAGGGAGGTTCTTCTGGAATGTAGGAAGGTAATACTTAACTATACAATTCATGAATTAAACAGAACAGTTTTGATAAAAAAGGGCAAGACCTGCAGTCTTAGAGATGGCTCAATTCAAAGTAATCCCTCCAGAAACAGGGACTGATAACGCGTCTTTGCGATGTTGGCGTGACAGGCCAGGTGCTGGGGGCTCCGGTGTCCTCTCCTTTGGGGCTCAAGCCTGCTCCGTCACAGCACATCCTTGGCTGAAGGCAACCAGTGCAGAACAACAGGAGGTGGCTGGCTGCTCTCCTTAGGGAAAATACCTCACTCATTTCCTTCTCTCTCTCCTTTCCCTCCCCAAACAGTTCCTTCCACCAGCATTATTTGCAAACCATGTTGCAAACGCCTGGCTTTTATATTTCTTTTTTGTTTGTTTGTTTAAAGGAGAAATATAAGTAGACGACTCCCTCAGGTTACAGAGTTGTGCTATTCAACAAATGAACTTCCTCTTCTGCCTCCTCTCTCTCCTCATCTACGGGATTCAGTTGAACATGACCGAAGCGGGGTCTTGGTTTGCCGTCTGGGCCATATGACGGAGGATATCTTTTTTTGTTATAATGCCAAGGAGGCGCCTGAAAGGGATAAACAGAAGACTGCCATTAAAATAAAAGGGAAAAGAAAAAGAGAAGCTACATTTATAGCTAAATCCTTTTTGTTGACAGGAATAGAGCAAAGCAAGCGCCTGATTTTGTATTTTCAAAAAGTATTTTATTGGCAAAGATAACCAAATTATCCAGCAACCATCCTTTGATATAGAAAGTATTATGGTCACTAACAGTACGATGTCCTTTCCACTGAGACTCTCAATGAAGTAGAACTACTTTGATTAATGTATGCCAACAAAAAAGTAACAAAAAGTGGGAGAATGTATGAACAAGAAATACCAATCCCATTTGAGAAGAAATATCCATTCCCATCACACCAAGAAAGCAGTAAAATGTCTGATTACCAAGTCCCCTCAATATTCCATTTTTTTTAAACCAAAGTTAACTTTTAAAAAATAAAGATTGCCCAGTTGTATGCTGTATCTTCATGAAAGCACATACAATTGAGATAAAATGGTCAACACAGAACTTCAATTGCAAACTTCAGAACCCAGAATAAATCTGTAAGACAACTCAAGTTTCTGGTACACTCATCAACGTTATACTTTTTTGATTTTGGCCAAAAAAGTTAAGATACAGTGCTTTTATGAAAGTCATAGTTGTTAATGCTTACATTAAAAGATAGATGAAAATCAAGAAGCAGTCCTAAAGTATTATAAGTGAAGCACAAAGCAGAATGAATGAGTAGCTACTTATTATTCTGGTTAGTAGTTTTTTTAAGAAGGATGCATGAAACACTTGTGAAATATTAGCATACAACAGGAATACATAATCAGTTGTGTATTAAACTGGGATACGTTTTATATAGGTATGACAATTGCAGGGCAAAATAATTTCAGGCATTAATTGTTAAAGCCAGACACTTTTTAGGTTATAAGGTAAGATAATAATTAAAAATGTATCTTTAGTCATGAAACCACTAGGACATAGAGCCAGTTAAAACAAATGCATCTGACCCTAAAAGATGCTTAAAGCACTCTAGAAGCATCATACAAAAGGGGCACACACATATTCTAGGTACAGTTCACTAATGAAATGGCAGGACACACACTATTGACTTTGAAAGAATGGAGGGTATGGGGGTATAGCAGAAAAAGAACTAATGCTATGATCACACACACATATATATACATGTACACATTACGCTCCAGTTAGTGTGCCCATAAAATAAATCCATTTACTTGTCAGCAATTCTAACATTGCTAAGCTCGGTTATAATGATTTATGAGCTTAAATTTACCACAAAACTACCACAAGATCATGAAACATTTTTTTTATATATAAAAAAAAAAGGGGGGGGGTTGGGATGATGGGGTAGACATTTTTAACCAGTCTGGCATCCTCTGAGACTGGTGTGACCGCTAGAGTAGACAGATATATTGTTACTTTTTAAATAAATGCCCAGTAATATTTACTCAGTCAACTACCAAACTCTTTACAGTTCTTAAATTGCAACTAATCATTTTGATGAGACGTTAAGTTTTGCTTACTTCCTATGAATGGAATTTTAGACCCATTTAAATTTATTTTACAGACATGTTCTATGAGCTATAAATGTAATTGGCAGCATGAAGGACTTTTTATTCGGCAGGTATCTGGGAAAGAGAGAACTGAACAGTTCACAAGTTTCATGCCTCCTGACTTCTAAGGTGTCTAATGAGGAGATCTGATATATCTAATCACCAAGGGTTCGACGTGCTGCTTTAGTTGCTCGAGATGCTCTAATATGTTCTTCTTTGTGATGATCCCCAAGACAATCCTGAAACAGATCATGTTATGCTAATAACTGTGAGAAATTAAATTAAAGGGGGTTCCAATCATAACGATAATGAAAGAAAGAATAAAAACATGAACCATAAGAATGCTTATAATGAACTTTAGAAAAATAAAAACAAAAATGATTTAAAATCCCAGGTCCCACTTGCATAAACTCTACTGACTTTCAAAAGAGACATGGTGCTATTTTTAAATACTGATAGATTGTTTCCCTTTTTAAATTAAAAATCAAAATGATAAAAGTTCACAATGAAGATGACTACAAAGAAAAGTACAAAAAATATTAATATACAACTGTAAAATTATAAAATTTAGCTTCATTTTCACTGTTCCTTCCTTCAAGGAAAATATTTTTCTAACATCTAAGATGTCAGAGTGCAGCAGGTATTATGTGGATCTACCTTAGCAATAAAAAGGTAGAAGGTGTCTTAGCCTTTATTGCCTATGAGGACACTTAAGAAGTCCCTTGGGTTTTACTATTATTTGGAATTAAATAAATAATGCCAACCAATACAAACACCTCCTAATTTTCAGGACCTGCCAAATACTACTTAAGATAAGCAAATAAGATACAGTTAAGATTAGGGGGCCCTGGCCAGTTTGGCTCAGCGGTTAAAGCGTCAGCCTGCGGTCCGGAGAGACCCGGGTTCGGTTCCCGCTAAGGGCACGTACTTCGGTTGCAGTTTGTCCCCGGCCCTGGTTGGTCGTGCGGGTGGCAGCCACTCGATGTGTCCCTTCACGTCGATGTTTCTCTCTCTCTCTCCCTTCCTCTCTCTCCCTCCCACTCTATCTGTACAAAAAATGGAAAAATATCCTCAGGTGAGGATAAAAAAAAAAAAAAAAAAAAAGATTAGGGGGTCAAAATGACTTTTACTACTTTACGTATTTTTTCTAAATAATTATTTCTTAGTTAATATATTATTATAACATCAATCATAATAATGGCCATAAATTCTCATGAGGATACTTGAAAATAATTAAACATTTAATTATTAAACAAAATTCTGGTTACTGGTATTATAATGAAAGTCAATGAATTCAACTACAATATATGACAATATAAACAGTGAATGTCAAAACCTTAAAAAGTGCCCTGGCTGGTGTGACTCAGTTGGTTGAGCGTCATCCTGTGCATGAAAAGGTCACTGGTTCAATTCCCAGTCAGGGCACATGCCCTGGGTGAGCTCCATCCCCAGTGCAGGGCGAGCAGGAAGCAGCCAATTGATGTTTCTCTCCCCCTCTCCCCCTCTCACTCTAAAATCAATAAAAACATATTATTAAAAAATACTTTAAAAAGTTTTTAATTGCTAAATTCTAGCAGCCCATCCAGAATGCGCTTCTGGGTAACTGAACATACTTCCCTGGTGATCAGGTTAAGTCAACTTTACTATTAAACTGCCTTTGAACATTCTGACTTGAAGGGTGTTACCAGGGGACTTCACTTAGTCAAAGCAGCCTGGTCCTACAGATAGGTCAGAAGCAAACAGTTACTCAGGGTGATGCCTGGGTGTGGAGGTGGTGAAGCAGAGAAGGAAGGGACTGGGAAAGGCATCAGTAGGTTCTATGCTAATCTTTTTCTTTTTTTTTTAAATAATGTACTGATCACTGAGAACAAAGATAAACTGAAAAGTTCTCAGAGCACGGAGAAAGTTCCCCCTCCAAACACGCTCAGACACTGCACTACGTAAAATAAGCGCTCAATCACTCGGTAGATGTTCTTCTCTGATTAAATGTTTGAGGTCAAATAAACAACAAAAACCCATCAACTCACTTAAATTTATACTTGTAGTCAGGAAATGTGAAAATCGTGACAATTAATTCAAATAATTCCAGTCTAATTCTCATTCATTCTTTTCTAGCCAATCATATACAGTGATTAATTACAGTTACTATATTAGTAAGCTCTGCCAAATCACAAGGTACAAGCTGAGAAAAAAATTACATGTTTTAAGGAGCAAATGGCATATTCAGAGATTTACAGGAGCAATGTTAATATTTACAAAGTAATAGCCCTAGAAAGGAAGAAGTACATACATCTCCTCTCCTTAGTTAATGGAGAAGAGGGATTTGAGCATAAGGTCAGGTTCAGTGCTGCTTTGTTCATTTCAGGAAGTGTAAGGAAAATTGATGCAAAATGTGACTCATGTGAAGGCTGATTTGTTGCTTCCTTGTGGGCTGATAAACAATTATGTAAGAAGTAACAGCACGACTCAACATTTTCCCAAAGTGTGTTCCAAGAAACACCAGTCACCAGAGTTCTACCCCTTTTCCTCCAACAAAAAAGGCTTGGTATTCAAATAAGTTTGGAAAACTATGTTTTCTATTATCCCATCTGAGAATCAAATAATATTAACATTTTATAAGTACTGAGAAGTTCCACAGTAAATAAACCTCAATTGTATTTAATCTAACACTTTCCCAATTTATATAATCACAAAAGTCTTTTGGAGCAATGCCTTCATTCCACCAAGACTAAAAGATTTTGAGAAATTATGCTAATTAAAATAAGAATGTGGGACATCTATAAATGATATCTTTACAGACATACTTCCCCTCATCCCTCTGGTCTCATTTTCTCCTTGCCTCCAAGGTTCCTGATCTGACATATCCCTTCCCCCAAATAGTTATTTTCCACCTCTAAGGACCCAGTATAAAATGTGAGCAATTGTCCAGAACTTCATGTCTACACTAGAAACCAGAAGATATCATTTCTTTTCTGAGTTTAAATCATTTAACTGTAAGTGAGAATAAAACACTCTACTTTCTTACATACTTCAAAGAAAAAGTCCCAAGAGAACCACCACCCCATGTGATCTCTTCTTTTATATCAATCTGTTTTCCTTATAGGACAGAAATAAGGAAACTATAATCAAGGCAATTAAACATGCTCCTTCAGAAAAAACCACCTCCTACCACAAGCTTTCTTATAAACAGGCAGGATCAGGTAAGGTTTTTATTTAACTATCCTCCCTTTCCCACCACTTCATTATTTTTACACTTTTCTTTTAAATATTTTCCTTTCCAATGTATGTGCTCTCAAAATCCTGGGAATTACTCAGCAAAGGGAAATACGGCAATTAGCCCATACAGCTTTGTGGTCACAGATAGTCATGACTAAGGACAATATATTTATCTGGTAGTACATAAAAGGACAAACCATGCCAGGCACAGAGAATAACTCAAAAAGTAAAAAGTTCCTAACAACTAAGCTTAGCTTCCAGTTGAGCCATTTATAATTAAAAGGGCCCAAGAACAAGTAAAGCTTTATGAAAAGTTATTCCACTTAACTTGTACTTATTAAGTTGTTAAACAGTGACATTTGATACCATTATTTTTTAAGTTTGATAACACTAAAGAAAAAGTTATTTTACTACATACACCCCTTCTGCAATCAATATCTGTGATACTTAATAATTCTGACCTCCCTACCCTTAATCAAGCACTTTATCTTTTTAATGATGTATTCATATCACCTTGAGTTATTTTGACTAATTAGCACACTAAACATGGATCTAATTCTCTAGTTTTATAGTTCTTTTCCTAATACAATACAGTCTAATATATTGTCCAAGAAAACAGTAGCGGTTTAAGAAATCACAAAGAAAGAAAATATATTCTATCAGTCAATTACAGTACAAAGCAACAGCAAGAGATTGGGTTTTAAAATTAGAAAGATATTTTATTCCTTGATCTCTGAATTGCTAACCACATGCCTGGGCAAGTCATCAACCCTCTCTGAGCTCCACCACTGCCTCTGTCCACCAGGGCACTGCACCTACCTACCTGCAGAGGGGCTGAAAAGTTACACGAGAAACAGGAGGGAGGTGGTGTTCAGTAAACAAAGTTCCATCCTTTCTGTCCTTTCTTCCTCCTTTCTCTAGACAGGGGTCACATGTTTTGTACAAAATTACATTTTAGAAAACCTGCTGTGATTCTCTATGTGCTTATTATTTCAGCCAGCTTCACGCTGTGCACACAGGTTATGCATAATCCCTTGCTCCTCGATTCTAGTCTTTCCATTGTCAGTCTTCAGGTAAAACAATGTTCTTAAGTGTTTCAGCTAGAACAGTAATATAATGGGAAAGGGGGGAGGGAGGACTAGAGAGAGAATGGGCTGGGAGACAGATCCCAGGTCAGGGACAGAGGGCGGAGTATGGCAGCCAAGGCGTACTGCGTATTACTCTCCACAATCCCTGTGACATATGCCAAGCAAAACTCTCCCATATTCCTATCCTCGAGAGGCACTGGCAGTTTATGTGGAAAGGACAAACAAAAATCAATTTATACATTTTAAATACAGGTGTACTTGTCATTAGCAGTTTATGTAAAAGGTCTGTAAATGGAGAAGGTAGGAAAGAGGAAACAAAGCATTTGCTAAAGGAGGTTTTCAGCTAATTTACAAATTTCAGTTAATTATATATTATTTCTTTCATTACATGACAAATTAAATAACGTCTGACACAGTAAATAGCCAAATATCTAGAAGGTTGTTACTGAACTAGAAATAAATATTCTAAAAAGGAAATACAACAGGAAAACAGGTTTTTGCAGTACTCCGTACAGGTCAGGGTCCCTCTGTCTACCGAAGGAAATACACTATGAACCATGTACCTGTTGGAGATGTTTCAGCACCTCTTTGCCAACTTTCAGGTGTTCCTGGCATATGTCACTACATTTTGGCAAAGATCTGGGAGTTGGTATTTCTCTTATTCCTTCTTAAATGTCAATCTGATTGACCTTGTCATTATAACCACACTAAAAGACAGACTTTCCCACTCTGGAGCTAATTACACTCTCTCCTAATAAGTGCATATGAATCCGCTAAAAAGGATAAAACAATTCTGGTAAGTGAACTGATTTTTTTTTTAATGAAACTTACCCATTGTGAGTGACAAGGCACTGCCTCAGACCCAGCTTTCGGAAAATATCCACCACAATCTCCATGGGCGTGTGGTCCGTCACTGTGAAAGGGCTCATGTCAAGAATGCTGCGAAGCTTCAAGGGCCGAGGACTCTCTGCGGGGAGAGATGGGGTGTGCTGTGCGAAGCACACCCGAGAACTGCCCACGATACCTTCTTGTTTTTTTCTGGCACTTTCTGAAAAGACAGAGAAGACCAAAAATTAAAATTTCATAGGTTTTATTTTAAGGGCAACATGCTTATTCAGAGATTAAATAAAAAAGTGTATCCCATGACTTCATTTTTTTTTCTCTCTTTTGAATCAAGAAAGAAATCAACTGAAAAGTCATTTATCAATGTCTTATATTTGACAGAATCAGAATCTCCAACCAATAAACCATCTTCATGTAAATAAAATATTTTTGGTGTTATCAAAAATTTGGCATAATTTTCTTTACTGTGATTGAAGCTTTTCTAACTTTGGGATATGAGGTTTTAAAACCTGCACAAACCATAGGACTCATCACCGAACAACACCTGCCTGTGCGGAGCCCCGTGTCCTGCACGGAAGGGGAACTCGAGAGCTGCGTCCTCACTCTGACGGTGGTGTGCACTGCACCACTGTGAATTAGTCCTTCTTTGTCCTTTCTAATGTTAAAGTTTAATTTTCTAGGTGAGTCATGAGCATGAAGAGATAGGCTGAAACTACAATTACACACATAAGGGGCACAGACTGACTTTGTAGGTTTTATTTGTAAAGGCTAGGGTAACCGCTCAGCTGCACATGCTCGGTCCTGCTGCCCACCTCCACCCCCACCTCTGAGTGCCAGACAGGAAGCGGCAATGATGCAGAAAACTGTAGAGGAAGAACAGAGACCATGGGTACAAAAAGGAAATGCATGAGTAAAGAAAATACAGTAATAAAATAGCTTTATGCTTCTATTTTGAATTAGTGTGTATTCAATAATATACACATATATAAAACCTAATGTACAGGTCTGCTTTACAAAAATATATATGGGTAAACATTTAAGGTGTGTTCAAAAAGTCATCATGTGACTAACATTTCTGAGGATGGGACTGAATCCCATATATCCAAATTACCTTAAATGAACACTGCCTTCCAACCCAACACTCAACTTCTCAAGACAATAACAAAACTAAAAAATATATCCAATAGGTGGGAATGTAATATTTAACTTCACCACCCTTTTCTTATAAAAACTTGGCCTTCTTTCTTTAAATTTCTATATAAATTCCAAAATTCTGATCTTTTCCATTTCTTTGCCTGGTTACCATTTAAATGGGAAAGAATGGGAATCTAAACAATAAAATTCTTCTCTGATTGTAGGTTTGATCATGGCAATGACTTAGAAGCTAAAATACTTGAACGGAGCCAAGTCTGACCGCATATTGTGCCTGCTCGGGCAACTACTAATTGTATTGTAAGTAATATTGTATTACTTAAAGCAAAACTTGGAACAATGGGCTTGTCAGTCTTTGAAAAAGGCTTCCAAAGATGTAAGCTTTCTCCGAAACTGAACAGGATAGTCTGTAGGCTCCTTACTTCTCCTCCTCCTCCTTCCTTTTGTTCTACTTTAGTAACTCTTGTAAACTGAGACCTTCCAGTTTGATTTGAGAAATATTCCCCAAATACACTGTCTAGTCTCTCTTCTTTTCAAATGGCACAAGGATGGAAATATTTTATAATCCTTTTTCAATGGCCACAGGGATAAGTTGGGAGGGAGATGACAGGCTCACAGGAGTGATCTTTGGAGACAGGCCAAATGCTTGACATTTTCAGGTTAGGGTCCTCTACTAAAAACTGCAGAGTGTAAAAGCAACAGCTTGATGAAAATATTCTCTATCACCTTTGGGGAGTGAGGGGTGAGGAGTCAAATTGTGTAAAGCCTTGCTGGTCTCCTCATTAAGAGTGTAGTACTTGGGTAAGAGGAAAATTAATTTTGCAGGAACACAAATGCTTCCTCCTCAGAAAAAAAGTTTATCTCTAAGAAATAACATAGTATGGCTAATGCCTTTAAATGATATTTTCAGGAATGTCAGCCCAAAATACAACAGTACTTACATACTTTTTCAACCTGACACTTCACTGAAAATAAAATCTTAATGATTTTTTTCACTTTAAACTAGACATTACAATATGTAAACCTATGCCCTGGCCAGTTTGGCTCAGAGGTTAGAGCGTCGGCCTGGGGTCCAGAGAGAGCCAGGTTCGGTTCCCGCTAAGGGCACGTACCTCGGTTGCAGTTTGTCCCCAGCCCTGGTTGGTCGTGTGAGTGGCAACCACTCGATGTGTCCCTTTCACGTCGATGTTTCTCTCTCTCTCCCTCCCTCCCACTCTATCTGAACAAAATATAGAAAAAATGTCCTTGGGTGAGGATTAAAAGAAAAAAAAAATTGTAAACCTAAATCCAAAAACTTAAAAAGCAAAACCTTGTGAAATCTGATATCAAACAGACCAATGAATATGGATTTTCAGCAATTTGCATTCAAATAAGCCAACTTTATTAAATATAAGAATGTATTTAGCTGAATGCCCTGGCACTTGCTAAGGTCTTATATTACATGGTAAGTAAGAATAACATCAACTTAGCAAGGCTTATCTGAGAGGGGAAAAAAAGAATCTGACCCCAAACTGATAACAATGCCAAGTCAAAGATAAAATTGTATTTAATGGGGGCCCAGCCAGTGTGGCTCAGTGGATTGAAGGTCATCCCATAGACAGAGAGGTCCCGCTTCAATTCCCAGGTTGTGGGCTTGATCCCCAGTAGGGGGCATGTAGGAGGCAGCCGATCAATGTATTTTTCTCACATAGATGTTTTTACCTCTCTCGCCCTTCTTCTCTCTAAAATAAAATCAATAAAACATCAAAAAAACTTTTTTATAAACTATATTTAGTGGGAAAACAATCAATGGAAGCATAAATTCCTTTCTTAAAGAACATAAGACCTGCCCCCATAAACCCAACCAATTAAATTTTGTTTTTCTTTCTTCCAGATATCTATATACAGTCATATCTACCTACCTAAATATCTAGATACCAGTATGTATGTGTGTGTGTGTGTGTTTTAAAAAGGTACCTATTGCAATTGTCAGGTCTCTCCTGAGGGCAAATCCCACTAATCTCTGAGATTCTTTTGACATTATGACAGGAAATCCATTGTAGCTGGTTTCATTAATCATGTTTTCTATATCATCCACTGTCATATTGTCCTGTGTTAGGACAGCTAAGGGAGGATCGTTCCTTCGAGGTCTCATGACATCAGCAGCCAGGGTGGTATGAGTGAATTCTTCTTTTGCATCCAAGAAAGGGTATCCATTTAACCGAATGTGCGCTTCATAAATGCCTTCCCTACCAAAGGCGTCTCCAACCCATTTACTGGTCATTACTGCAGCCATAAGGGGAACAATATATTCCAGGCCTCCAGTAAGCTCAAAAACAATAACCACCAAGGAGACAGTCATCCTTGTCACACCACCTGAAACAAAGATAAGCATCACTGGTCAGGAAGAAAGGCTCCTCTCATCAGTACATGCTAGCAGCATTTATGCACTAGGTAGTTCAACACAAATTGTAAATAGAACTTAGTGAAAAGAATTGTCATCAAAAACCACTCTTAGGACAGTTACTACTATTTTAATAAGAGCTAAAAGAACATCAATCATCTTAGTTCATAACACAGAAGACTTGAAATAACATTTCAAAACCTGTTTGCTTCATTTAAAAAAAATCACAGCTGTCCAACGAAAACAAGTTTGCCATTTTGGTTCATTGCTACAGCAGACATCATTTCACCTGTGTATGAAGATTACTATTAATTCTTAAGGAATGTGATGAAGCACATCAAAGCTATCTTGTTTACTACCCATTACAAGTTAAATTTATATGTGGGTAGAATATTAATGTAATACATTTCTCGCCTCTGAATCTTTCCAAATTAGTAAAATATCTTGATGCCTCGTGATTTACGGTAGCAGTATATTCTCTCCCTCCGAAAACTCGTGTACCCATTTGCCCGTCACCATTCCTAACTATGTTCTCTGTGCTGAGGCTTCCCCCCCCCCCTCTCCCCTCCACTGCAGCCCTCGCCCATGATCCAGCTGTGCGCACCTTCTCTGGTGCTTGCCTCCTTTTCCTGTAACACACCACACACTTAAAACTAAACTCCTCTTCTTCCCAAGGAACTCCGCGTTCCAACTTCCCTGACTCCAATGGCGAGCACCACATTCTTCCTGACAACCTAGGTGATCACGCTTGGTTCTTTATCCCAGCATCCAGACTCTCACCGAGTCCTATCTGATTTGCTTTGCAAAATATCTATGGGTGTATTTCTCAATATTCTCACTATTATCAGCCTAGTCCAGACCCTCAAGATTTTGTTCCTTAATTGTAATACTATTTTGTGTTACCTCCTTAACTCCAGGCCTATTACCTTCAATCCACTTTCTAAGCCATGTTCCCTGATTAATCTTTCTAAATAATACTTTCACCATGTTGCTTCTTCACTCAAAAACCTACCAGGGCTCGCCATTTCATACTATATTAAGCTTAAACTCTTCCTTCTTGTTTTTAAACCTAAAAATAGAAGGGAGAAAGAACCTAGTGCATATTAGAGATCGACCCTATCTCAGACATACCCTAGTCAATTTACAAAGGCTTTAAAAAAATTTTTTTAACTAAGCACTTAATTTACCAGGCACTATGCTAATAGCTTTATATATATTTTATCTCATATAATCCTCAAAAAAACTGCAGGAGGTAAGTAGTTATTATTTATATTTTAAATGTTTTTTTTTTTAAAGGAAGTAAAGGAACTTTCCCAAAGTCATCAAGCTACTTGTGGCGAAGCCACGACTGTCCCAGATCTGACCAATTCCCAACACAAACTCATCCTAACATAAATCATGGCCGTCCTGTAGTCTGGCTCCTTCTCACCAACAAAACCAATCCAGCACTGTTTCCCAAAAGTATCCAAAATGCACTCTCTGCTTCCATATTGTCAGTTTCTTCAGAGCCTCATGAATACTAAATCTACTTCTATTCTAATTTCTTTGTCTTCACATTATTATATTCTTCAACAAAGTCCTCTCCCTTAAATTCTATTAATCTTTCAAAATAAGGCCTGGAGTTCTACCCTACCTGAATTATGTCAGTTCTTTTTTCCTCTACATTCCTACAATTTTCACAGACTTTTTCAGTACTGTATGTGATCATTATCTATTGCCCACTACTGTTTTCTCAGTATGGGTCTTGCCTCCAAGCCTGACTGTAGGTAAGGCTGGTCCATGTTTTATTTTCCTGTTACTCACTGCACCTAGCACAGTGCTAAACAGAAGGTGGATATTTAAATACCTGCTACTTCAGTGAAAATGATTCTATCCTTCACTTTCATTTCATATTACACTTTTGAACATCAATAATTACTTTACACAATTTTGATGCACTGAACAAAAATAAGTGAAAATATCAGCCATTATTAAATATTATAGCCAAAGTTTAGCTGATATTTTAAATATAAAATAACTATTTTTCATGCCCAAGAGGATGATAAATAGACTCATACTTATTTAATGCAAATATTTTGCTTTTCTTTTGTTTAAAAGTGTAGTTATAGTTACCTTTCTCATTTTGCTATAAATAAACCTTAGATGGAGGAGGGCTGGTAAAGAAATATTTTACTGAGGCTAAAAATAAATCACTGCAGAGCCCAAGTAAAGCTATTTGTCAGCTTTGCTAGCATGCTAATCTTAGGAACCGTGCTATAGTTGGGATAGGGAAGTCAAGATCCTTGACAATGAAAAAAAAAAACACAAAAAAATCGTTATGAATAGGATTCAAATTAAGCCTATGTTGTACTGAGATGTTTTCTGTCATAAAACATTATGTGATATTAAAAAGATGCTATTACTAAATTCTTGCATTAATAAATTTTCAGAGACAGGTAAAATAATACCTAATACTGTATAATACTATATAACAGTAATGTTCCATTTCTGCTCATTCTTCTCCTCTGTTCTATACCCCTCTCTCTCCCATCACCCACCCCACCAATTAAGTATGAGCAAACTCTTACTCATTCAGACAGAGACAGACACAGTGACGTTACCTAAGCATGCAGCAGCACCAACCATGGCGTAAAGGCCAGGAGTAATGCAGTCAGCCCCAACCTCACACCACTCCTTAAAGATAAACCAGTCGTGATGATAATACGCAAGCTGCTCCACTGCAATCCCCACAATCCTCCCCGCAATTGCTCCGATGGCCATGCTGGGGATAAACAAGCCTGATGGAACCTACAACAGAAAACAGTGCTAAATAAGGCAGAGGTCCTCTACTAACATGCTTGAAACCTACGTTCTGTGGATTTCCTTCTAACACTTTTAACTCTTTTCACACTGACATAGCAAAATCCTAGCATCAATTAAGACATTTAGCAAAAGTTTAGTATCTTAACAATTCCATGAATTCAGTTACAAAGTAACAAATCACATTCTCTAAACCAAAGAAACCAAAGAGAAAAGAACCCAAGAGTTATTTCTCCTTTAGCTCAGGGGTTCCTTAATGCCAGTCCCTAACAAAATTTTCATTAGTCCATGGTTAAATGTGGAAAGAAAGAACGACAAAAAAAGAACAGCATGAAGCATTTTTCATAACTCTAATTCAATTCAGTCTGAAGTACTGCTCTTTATTTACTCCAAGATTATGTCCTTCCTATATATTAGTTGCTTGTCAAGTGATAGAAATATTTGATGCTATTCCTCTTAAGTGGTACAATGTAAAGTGGACAATGTTATCAGGTCTTCCAATATTTTTTTTAGTGATTACACACACACACACACACACACACAAATTTGGTCAATAAATACTTTTTCTCCTTTTCATTAATTAATACATATGAATCTAATGAGGATAATAGAAATAGTAAACACCTTAAGCAAGATCATTTAAAAACTATTAAAAGAGCCTGGCCAATGTGGCTCAGTTGGTTGAGCGTCGACCCAGGCACCAAGAGGTTGTCAGTTTGGGTCCCAGTCTGGGCACATGCCCAGGTTGAGGGCTCAATACCCAGTAAGGAGCGTGCAGGAGGCAGCCGATCTATATTTGTCTCTCATTGATGTTTCTCTCTCTCGCTCCCTCTCCCTTCGTCTCTCTCTAAAAATCAATAAAAATATATTTAAAAACATAAAAATAAAGACTATTAAAAGACTAACAGTCTAAACTGTTCTGGATCTGAAACAAGCTGAGCACAAAGTGATGGCATGTTGAAGAGTCTGTCAGGAGCATTAAATAGAAATCCAAACTAGAAGAGGTCAAAATGTGTTTTACACTTTCCTGCCAGTTAGATCCTCAGGCCAGAGTGGAGGGTAATGTGGGACTTAACGAAGGCCTGCCAACTGCATCTGATTTCCTGTGGCTCAATTGAGGGTGAGAAAATTGGAATTTATAGAAAATCAACTTACTGTAGAAACAGGAGCTTTAACAATAAATTTCATTTGATTCACTAAGGAATAAAAAGTAAAATTCCAAGGTTTCTCTATTAACTCTCATGTTTAATTGATTATATTTAATTAATATAACGTTGACTAAACACAGAGGACAACACAAGAGAGACATATTTCAGAAACAACATGCCAATTTCGTAAAAATTAAGCTGCTATTCCACATAATGTACAGCTGTGAAAGCACACTATGACCAGAGAACACTGACTATGAACTACAGGTACTGTAATTTAAAGAACAAGAATTAGTTGACATCTGATTCCCCATTTATATCAGTGATAATCATATATTTATAGGCAAATCACTAATTAACAAATTATTCTCACTTTTGTAAATTCAAAAGAAGCAATGTCCCTGGGCATAAGGCCTAAATCCTTGATGGAAAAGGCATGGTGTTAATGGGCATAGTAATTAACTCTTGAGTCTGCAGTGTCCTTTCGAGGTAACACTACAGAAATATGGTGAGGCAGGAAAATGGATTCCTAAAAATATAGATATCCTGATTCTTGTGAATTTGTTATGTCATATGGCAAAGAGGAATCAAGGTTGCTAATCAGCTGACCTTCAAATAGGAGATTATCCTGGATTATCTGGTTGGGCCCAAAGTAATAATACAGGTGTTTTAAATGTGGAAGAAGGATTTAGAAGAGTAAGTTTCAAAATGATGAGATAAAAGACTTGACCATCCATTGCTGGCTTAAGATGGAAGAAGGGGGCCTTGAGCCAAGGCATATGGGCAGCCTCTAGAAAGCCAGAAAAAGCAAAAAAAAAAAAAAAAAAAAAAAAAAACCCTGTGAACGCCTTGATGTTAGCCCAGTGAGGCCCACTCTGGATTTCTAATCTCCAGAACTGTAATAAATTTGGGTGATTTTAAGCCACTAAATTTGTGCTAATTTATTACAGCAGCATCAGGAAACTAATAAATGGTTTAGAAATACAATCATGAATTTTCTGACATTCTTCCCACTAAATGGTAGAGTATATATCCCTACCCCTGAACTGGGCTGGGCCTTTGTGGCTGTCCAGACAAATAGAACACAACAGAAGGCATGCTGCGTGACTTCTTTGGCTAGGTTAGAAACTGTCCTCTTGGGACGCTTGCTTTTAGAACCCTGAGATACCATGTAAGAAATCCAACTACCCTGAGACCACCATGCTGGAAAAACCAGGAGCTCAGATAGTATATCTCCAATTGTCTGAATGTTCTCAGCCCAGGTGCCAGACAAATGAATGTCCATGAGATGAGCAGCCCTAGCCGTGTCTGATGACAACTGTATGACACACAAAAACATGCCTAGTTTAGTCCTTCCCAAATTGCTGACCAATATCAATAACAAAATAAGTGAACTTTAACTGCTAGGTTTTAGAGTGATTTGTTACAAATTAACAGATACCATGGCTCAAGAATATATCCTAAGGAATTCTTTTCTTCATTTCTTAAAATTAAACCTGGAAGACAAAAACTTTTTCAGGCCCTGGTTGTAAAACAACCACCTTCAGACAAAAATATAATCTCTCATTCCATATACAAGTTTTGATCATGCCAAGATTACTTAAACATCACCCGACAATGGCACTTACCTTGATACCAAAAGTGAATACTGTCATTATGATTTTAAATATGAGTGCTAAGCATAACTGCCATATAGCTGAATATACTCCAAGGCCTGCTGGACGATCAGGAATATCATCAACAATTTTACTGGCATTCATGTCATTTCTGTAGTCACAAAGAGAAGAGGATTCCAGGGGCCCACAGTCTGTAAAAAGCTCTCTAATCAGTTCACTGGTGTTGAGCCTCGTATATGGATTAGGGAAGGCTATCACAGCAGTAATGGCTGCAACAATAATGACTTCAAGAACAGGATACTTTCCAAATTTGGTGGACTTGCGTCGACGACACCAAGCAATATTTGCTCTAATAAAAAAGGCTCCCCAAAGTCCTCCAAATACCCCAAGGAGAATAAAAGGAAACAGTTCAAAAAGGTACCATGGCGTATGATACTCCACATAAAAAAGGACCAGACGACTATTACCAAATGGATTAATGGATCTCAAAACAAATGCAGCAACTAAAGCAGCAAAAAATGATCTCCATAAAGTTTTAAGAGGAAAATAATAGCTAACCTAAAAAAAAGAAACAGAAAGAAAAATTAATGGTATCATTTTATAAAATGTTTCTGATATGTTTCTGATACGTAACTTGAATGGTAAATATCATAGCTCTAAATTTAGCTGCAGCTAGAATTTACATACAATGGATTTTACTGTAGTAAGAAAAATATTGATGTTTTAACTTTGACTATCATCTCATTATACAGTAAAAATATCAACGAGTCATAAATGTCTAATAATTATTTAAAATACCTAGCATTGGTTTATTTTCAAAATAAAGTTCACCTCCAATCATAGTAGTTAATAATAAATGTACTGCCATCAACTCATGTTAGCTCATAAAGAACTATTTGATTTATCTCGTCTATATTAAATAGAAAAAAGAAAAGAACACAAATAACTAAAAAAAGTAAATTTTAAAACATTCTTACTCATATTTTTTGTGTAAATGTGTAAAAAGTCTTAAGCACCAAAGAAAACAAAAACAAAATATTCCACTAAAGCAATTCAATTATCTCCTTAGACATCAATAACTGCAACAAATAATCACACACAAAAAACTTACAAAGATGATTTAGAAATTGATTAAAAATTTTTAAATAAAAAGACAGGCTATATCCCAGCCAACAGGGATAGACTGTTTTATTTACTTATTTTTATTAAATTTTTATTTATTTTTGTTACAGATGTTTCTCCTTTTCCCCCCACTGACACCAACCTCCCCCTCCCTCCCCACCCTGTCCCCAGCTTTGTTGTCCGTGTCCATTGGTTATGCATAATGCATATAAGTTCTGTGGTTTATCTTTCCCACCCCCACTCCCTCTTCTGGGGATTGTCAGTCTGTACCCCACTTCCACACGTCTCTGGGACTACCCTGTTCTTCAGACTGTTATGTTCATAATATTCCACAAATAAGTGAGATCATATGAAACTTGTCTTTCTCTGTTTGGCTTGTTTTGCTTAGGATAATACTTTCCAGGTCCCTCCATGTCATCTCAAAGGATAAGAGATCTTTCTTTCTTACAGCTGCATAGTACTCCATTGTGTATATGTACCACCACTTTTTTATCCATTCGTCTACTGATGGACATTTGGGCTGTTTCCAGATCTTGGCTATTGTAAATAGTGCTGCTATGAACATGGGGGTACATATATTCTCTCTGATTGGTGTTTCAGGCTTCTTAGGGTATATTCCTAGAAGTGGGATCATTGGGTCAAATGGAAGTTCAATTTTTAATTTTTTGAGGTAACACCATAGTGTTTTCCATAGTGGCTATACCAGTCTGCATTCCCACCAGCAGTGTACTAGAGTCCCCTTTTCTCCACACCCTCGCTAACATTTGCTGTTTGATGATTTGTTGATGAGATAAATGAAATGCAGTTAAGCAAATTATCAGAGGGATAGATTGTTTTAAATATTACCCATAAGTCAAATTCATATGTGCTTACTTTAATATGTCAACGAAGTTAAATTTTAAACAATAACTAGTGTTGATAAATAAATAGCATTTTAAAAAATATTTTTCTCAAGGTAAAGAACATGTATAGTATATTACTTTTTATGTATAAATTAAAAATAACCATTAAAATAAATTTGAAAACTTAAAAGCAAAGTCTATGACTATTACACTAGATATAAAACTGGAAAGTGTGCCAAAATATATTTGTAATGGTAATTATTTATCATTTTAATTGCTGTATTTTTTTTTTAACCTACCTCTTCCAGGCTAAAAAGAACTCCTCCGATGGGCGCACCAAAAGCTACAGAAACACCTGCAGCTGAGGCAGCTGACAGCACCTGAAGAAAAGGACGAGGCTTACTCATGTTTGTATAATTCCAATATATGCCAAATCAAAATTCTTCAAGTTACTCAAACTTTCTAAATGACTCTTCTGAATTTAACTCACATGTCTCCCTCCTTCCCAAGCAAAGGCAAATATTTATTTCCTCTAAAAATATTTCTCTTCTGTTTTAATTGAAAGGTCATTCACATTTCAATATTTAGTAAAAAAAAAAAACCTATGTGAGATATGCTAATGATGTAAATGGAATGTAAAGAAGAGGCAATAAATATAGCCAACTTTCAAGGTGTTTGTTTGTGAAGACCAGTGGAGAAAGCAGTAACTGGTTTGAGGAGAGAACTGTTTATTTATTTTTAAACAGGATATAATTTCTTCAGATTTTAGAGCTAACTGCATCATCGTAAATAATTATTCCAAATCCTGGTAAAATACCCGGGGAACTTAAAACCTATTGAGTCCCCATATCTTCACCACTGAGTCCTCTGCAAACGCTGCACTGGCAGCACGGAGCGCATCACTGCAGCACCAACAATGGTCTGCTCCTGTGGTGCAGCCTCGCCAGCCAGAACCCACATAATCAACTCCTTTGTGGCTCTTCTCTCCAACTTCCTGGTCTGGCACTTGGACACTGCCCAAATCCCACCAGTGTGAAGCCAACTACACACTGGGCATTTATTTGTAATTACTTTTCTAAGAGCTTTTATTCTTTTCACTACTTCAGTAAATATTTGAAGCTACCAAAGCATTACCTCAAATGGTCAATTTTTATTTACATTTCTAAAAATGAATTTAGAAATCATCAAACTTAAATTGTAAATGATTAAGAGAACAAAGTACATAATCAGGCTACTGTTTGATAAATTAAATATAAACAAATATTTGTTTTAATTAAATTGTATCTGGCTTTAAAATGCAGACTTTGCTTATTGGGGGGAGAAGTGAGAGATAATTTAACTTACTTTTTGTTTTGTTTTTCCCACTAATGGAACTGTAGACAACATATTTAACTGAATTGTCTAATTCTACATTTAATAAAACAGAATTTTCCATACAATCAAGGTAACACCCATGCACCTATTACTCACACATGTTTTAATCTGTTTAATAAGTATTTAAGAATCATTTAATTAAAAAATGTCAAGGGTCCAGCCGGTGTGGCTCAGTGGTTGAGCATCGACCCATGCATCAAGAGGTCGCCAGTTCGATTGCCGGCCAGGACACATGCCCAGATGGTGGGCCTGACCCCCAGTGGGGGGCATGTGGGAGGCAGCCAATCGATGTTCTCTCTCATTGATGTTTCTATCTCTCTCTCCCTTTCACTTCCTCTCTCTCTAAAAATCAATAAAGGAGAAAAAAAAATTTTTTTAAATGTCAAGGAAGTGGGTATAGGAAGAAAGACTTTAATGCTTTAAGGCTTTAATGCTTTCACTAAGGAGTAAACTCTAGACATTTATATACTAAGGTGACAGAATAAAATTAATGTCATAAACATTACTAGTCCTCAGTTTGTACATTAAAATTTAGATAAATTTAGTTTCTGTAACATTTTCTAATTAATTAAATTTGTTTCATTTATAATGAATAAATAAAAATGCGAATCTTACCCCCAAAATGTCAAGGTACAAAAGCAAGTAAAGAAATTGAACTGGGGAGAGGAATGCTATATATAGCTCCATTTAGCCACTTGCCAGTGTTATAGTATAGTTTAAGTTTTGTTTTGAACACACACAAACAAATGTCCACACAGTCATAGGAGTAGTAGCAGGAATAATTAAGAGTATAGACTTTAGAGTGGAACAAAATAAATTTTAACTACACTCTGACACGTAATTTTGGACAAGTTAGTCAAGATTTAGTTTAGTTACCTACCTATAAATGAAAATAATTGTGCCAAGTTAATAGGATTATCACAGAATTAAATTTTAAGGTGCAAGTAAAGAATCTGCCACAGAATCAGATACATAGTAATTAATAATGCTGGTTATTTTTGTTATATAACAGTGATTTTCAACCACTGTGCCACAGAATTTTTAAAACATGCAATACCTGACTATTTTAGTCAGGGGCACTGACCTCTTTTCCCTTAGAATGCCAAATAAAAAAAAATGACAACAGCCAACACAATAGCCTTCCGGTGTGAATGAATCAAGATTATACCTATTTTTTTTTGTCAGATTGGCAAAAAATCTATTTTTTGGTATGCTGCAGAATTTTAGTAATCAGTTTGTGTGTGCCATGAGATGAGAAAGTTGAAAATTGCCATTATATGGACAGTACTGAAATCACAACTCTCATCCAGAGATGGGGCAATGATGCTCTGAAATGTTGCACTTTTAGACTGACAATGCAAGGACAATGTTTTAGTGCTACCATTAAAATGAACTAGAATTATTTCAACTGCAGAATAAAACAGTTTGATTAAAAATATTCTACTTTTCTTATTGTAGTAAAAAACAACCACAGCATGAAAGTGCCTCCTATGCCAGGGCCAGAGACCCCTGAGTTCTCGATATTGAATGACACATAGAAATATTGTACCTTAAAAACCCAAAGGGCTCTGTACCATCCTGGGATACAGATTAGACTGGGAAAACAGGAAGGGACTGGGCCTCCCAAGTCTAGAGCTTACACAGGAGATCTCAGGAGCCCATTTTCCTTCCAGAATATATCCAAAGCAATTTAGAAACACCAGGGAAACTCTATAATATATAAAGTTTAAAGATCTCCTAGACAATCTCAGGCTGGTCTTAAAAAATGGTTTAAAAAAAAAAAAAAACTACCCTGAAGAGCTGAATAAAGAGGCATTCCTATGTCCCTTTGATGTAAATCTCTGATTTAAACCTCAGGAGGTCCTGAGTCCCTCAGAACTTCCCCATGGTGCCTGGCAGCTCTCTGCAGCTGACACACAGCTCCCACTGGCATCAGACACTTCCTCCAGAGGAAAACACAGTTGTTAAGATTTCCCCACCATGGAGAAATACTGATGGTGAAAATAAGAGTAAAATAATATCACATGGGAGAAACACTTCAGAGGGGGGGAGGTGCTGAAGCAAAGCAAAAATAAATACAAAAACCTTTGTGAAATTTAACTGAAACCAATGGACACCGGGCAGTCTATCTAAAATGTCTCTCAAATATATTGAGCAGCCCTGGGAATGGATTCTAGAAAGACACTAGCTATTATTCACAAAAAGGAAAGAAGCAAATAATTTTCACATTAAATTTTTAATCTGAAGACAAAATTTATCCAAAAAGTAGAGAGTAATATGCGATCTTTTCACTAGAAAATGCTTCACTGAATTAAGTCTATATGACAGATATTTATATGTCAAATAAACTACAAAAGACACTTACCTCCCTTTTTTTAGCTTCATTTGTGCTATACTTTGGAAAGAGGTAGGAAAAGATATTTCCACAGCAACAGGCAACATGTACCAGGGGACCTTCTTTTCCTAAACTCAAACCTGATGCCACAGCCAGTACTAATGTGATGGTTTTAATCATTAAAGTCCATTTTCCCAAGTAGCCTCTGATGATGAATCCGCTCAAAATAGTTTTAATCTACAAAGGAAAGATTAAGGCAGTTTAATCCCTTGGGGGGGAAAAAAAAAACACATGAGAATTTAACTAACTTAAGTTATTCTCTTTGTTTTAGTTAAAAACCACCTTACAAATTTTGGTGCACTATGAACAATTCACAATTAATTTTTCAAAAGCTTTAAATAATATGTTACGTATAATAAACTTATATAATATTCTAACACTGTTCCCAATCAAGGATAAAAGACAACCCTATCTCATGAACAAAACTAAAATATTGGGCCACGTTAAAGGGAATACAGATCGTAATACAAGGATTATAATTACATAACCAGAAAAAGGCAACCATAACCAGAAAATTTGTTATAATATAGTTAGATACACTTTGGACATTTTACATCAGAAATAAAGATACTATGCCTTCTCAGAGTCCTGTAATTATGCGTAATATTTACCTACATGTCAAGAAGGATGAGTGACAACTGCTAAATACTACATGATATTGTTTCTTATTGAAGATATTCTTAATAAACTTCAAAAATCACTACAATTTAGTTTTTAAAAGAAATGCACTGAAAAAGACTGGTAAATTATTTAAAATAGAAAAAATTAAAAGGGGAAAGAAATCAGTTAACATGTTCAACCCTAAGTATAGTCTCCTTTATTGTTGAAAAGCAATAATATCTAAAAGTTTGTGCTATTGACTTACTATGATCCAATGTTTATTTTAAAGTATAAAGTGGTTATAAATACTATCTGCCAAATTGAAAAATTAACTTATCTAATTAAAATATAGTTATAGAGAATGGATTTAAATCAGATTCATAACTGCAAACCATCAAATAATCCATCATATAACTTCAGGCCACAAGATAGTTTTTCACGTTCTGTGGGTTTAAGTCTTCTGATATTTGTTTAGTCATGTGATATAATAGTGGTGAGAACTAAAAAAATCAACCTCCATAGTGAATGATGAAATAACTATAGGGAAGAATTTCTTTCAATGATGTCTACAATCAATTTACATTTAAAAAATTTTTCATATTACAAACAAATCATTTCCCCAAAAAAACAACTACTTTCCCCCCTAGAAGTAAAAAAGATAAGCATCATTACAATTACTGAATGTTTAATGATATTAAATATTGCATGGCTTACCTCTGGAATTCCAGAGCCACAGGCATATGGAGCAAATACCTTTACCAGGGAAACAGCAAGAAAGGCGAAACTCAAGGCCCAGAAGATGTACATTATGTAGTTCATGATGTAAGAACCAGGACCCTAAGCAAACAGTTCATAGTATGAATTTAATTCACTGTGCACCTCTAATGCAAGTGCTTGCCTCATTAGAAACTAGGGTAAAACTTGTAAAGGCTCTTGATTTACTTCTGCAATAATAAAAGCTTTATATGAACAAAACATTTAAGTAGAACCCAAAAACATATTTGTATCCATCCCAAGGAGCCTTAATCTATGTAATGTTTTTCCTAACTTTTTCCTGATCCCTCAAGTCTTATTGTGCAGTCTCAGCTATACTTCAATCTCTAAAATTCAGCTATAACCAAATTTTAAAAACATATTCATATATGATCCTGTAACTTTATATATATTATATAATATATATAAATGTAACATTGTAACTCCTAAAATATTCATTACAGAACATCACTTCAGTACTGTAATGCCATGAGAAAAAATCTATGGATTTTTTTCAAGGTATCTCCAGTTAGGAGGCTTATTTCACTAAATTTTTTTTTTTTTTAATCCTCACTTGAGGACATTTTTCCATTCTTTTTTCAGATAGAGTGGGAGGGAGAGAGAGGACGAGAAAGAGAGAGGAACATCAACATGAAAGGGACACATCGAGTGGTTGCCACCCGCACGACCCATCCAGGGCCGGGGACAAACTGCAACTGAGGTACATGCCCTTAGCGGGAACTGAACCCAGAACCCAGGTCTCTCTGAACCGCAGGCCGACACTCTAACTGCTGAGCCAAACCGGCTAGGGCTATTTTACTAAATTTTTTAATAATTCCTATTTCCCAAAGAATAGTGATGTAGTATGTTAAGCAGTTTCAGTAACTTGGCTTCTTAACAACTTTTTGTGGTTACACAGATCCTATTGCACTCCTTTTCTACGATAAGAAATACATTTCAGGTCATAGCCTGTAGACTTGTATGTGACTCTGTAATTAATACAAGAGTCTCTTGAAACAATACTTACATTTTTTACCTGCTTTAAAGTGTTCTTATATTTTTCATTCTATCCTATTACATTTCTTTCTTTTTTTCCTTTAATGCAGGTTGCAATCATCTAATATATGATTAATTCTATAATTAAATGATTTTGGAGACTAATTTCACCACAGCATTTATTAATTCATCTTGAGACAAAGAAGACTTACCTCCGCTTGACCTATGATTAATTCTGCCCATGTTTTCCATTGTGGACATTTATCTCTCTCCTCAAACGTTGTTTCACTAGATCCCCAACAACACTGTTCATGGTTGTACCACAATGCATTAAGGCAAATGCCCTCCTTTAGGTCCGTCATCCAATCGGCAGCAATGTCTATTAATCCAGCCAATGCCCCTATGAGAACAAGTTGGAGGTGGTAAAAAATTAAGTTCATTTGTGGGAAGTTAAGAACTATCAAGTTAAAAAAAGCCAAGGAAAACAGGGGACACCCTACAAATAAAGGGTTACATAGGGAATATCATGTTAATTTAAGTTTTCAAATCTTAGTTATCAATAAGTTTATATTACTTTTTAAAAAATATAAAATCCTATTCTTTAAAACTGTTATTTTTTGTTTTAAATTAAAAGTAGTTACATCATTCAAATTAATTGTGATTTTTCAAAAAGGCATTTAGCCGACACTAAAACATCTTCAAAAGACACTAGATTCACACATCTGGTTACTGAAGTCAGAGTTTTTACTAGCATATTTTAATACAAAACTTAATATACTTACAAATGACCTCAATCTCATTAAAATTTAATGTCTGTTAGAAATAATTAGTGAAACTCCTAGCATTAATGAATTACTGTGATAGATTTTCATTTTTTTCTTAAATAACAAGAGATCAAATATATCAAGATCATTTACTGACAGAATATAAAAATATATACAAATTTATGGTCAAAACCTAGTAAGGACTGCATTTAATACTTTCATTTCTATAAAAAGATCAATGAGTCATACACAGTGGCCATAACATTCTTGTGCATGTCAATCAGAGATATCAGTACTTCCCTCTATTCTTCACACATATTTTAATTTTTTTCTCATTTTCTTCTAGACATAATCTTCCACAGTGGAAGATGAAAGTCATTAACATTTACTTTCAGATCTTCAATGTTACTCTTAAAGTCTCACATAGGGACTTTGTGGTTACTCTAGCACGGTGGTTAAAAGCATAGGCTCTTGAACTGAACTGCCTGAATTTAAATCTTTGCTTGGCCAGTTACTGGCTATATGACCTTAGTCAAGTTAATTAACCTCTCTCTGCTTCAGTCCCCTCGTCTGTAAAATGGTGATAATAACAACACATATACCAGCAATTTTCAACCAATGTGCTGCAAGAATTTTTAAAACGTGCAACACCCGATTATTTAGTCAGGGGCCCTGACCTCTTTTCCCTTAGTCAAATAAAAAAATGACAACAGCCAACACAACAACAGCTGTCCGTGTGAATAAATCAAAATTACACCTATTTTTTTTGTCAGATCAGCAAAAAATATGTATTTTGTGATGTGCCACTGAATTTTAGTAACTGCCATTAGATATAAAAGGTTAAGAACTGTGACATGTACCACAGGACTGCCATGAGAATCACATACACGTAAAGCTTTTAGAGCAGTGATATCACATAGGAAGCGCTCAATAAACAGCACCTATTTGTTATGAAGTTAACATTAAAAGATACTGGATTGATCATATGGTCCAAACCACATACTTTACAGAAACAGAAACTGAGCCCAGAAAGATTTAAAAATTGGATAGAGCCAACACTAGACTCAGAAGCCTCCTGCCTTCTAGCCTTATATTTAAGAAGAGTTTTTGAAAGAAAGAAACAAAAAAAATAATGCTTTTAAAAATCCAACAATACCTGAAAAAAAATTGAGGAAAGGAAAGAGTACTATTTGTCATTCTGTTAACCAGAAAAGGATTGCATGGAAAAGCTTCTTTACCTGATGCCAATCCTGTCAGTGTTACCACCAGCCATCCTGACCACGCATCATACAAACTTTTCGTCATTTCCCATGCTGATTCTTTCTTTTTGCTGTTGATCTGAAATTAAAAGTGTGTATGCTTCATTTTTCAATCTATGAATAGAAGCCACAACTCTAGATTCTAACAATTTTCTCAGTTACTATACCCAGGGCAGTACTTTCTACACTAAATACTGAGAAAGGTGAGCTTGGAGCAGAACCACTATCAGTTGCTATACCTGTAAACCAGACGACACACATTTACCCAGAGATGTGTAGTTTAACAAGAACCTCAGAATTTGAGAACAAGGGATCCACACAAACCATATAAAGTCTGATCCAGACTGGTCTAAACTGTATCAAATTTAGCTGATCTATGTCTTTTATATGAACAGAAATAAGGCATTAAAGCTTGAAATGTGTATCATTCTCTAGTCATTCTCTGCTCCAGGCAGTTAAGAGGACTATTATATTCTCTAAAAGAAAAGGTCACCCTGGCTTGTTTGGCTCAGCAGTAGAGCACCAGCCCATGGACCAATGAGTCACGGGTTCGATTCCTGCCAAGGGCACATACCTCAGTTGCAGTTCATCGCCGGCCCTGGTCAGGGTCCTGTGGGAGGCAATTAGTCCATGTGTCCCTCTCACGTTGATATTTCTCTCTCTTTCCCTTTCTCTACCTCTCTCTCTCCCTCCCACTCTAGTTGAAGATAAAGAGAAAAAGATAAGAAGAGTGCCCTGGCCAGTTGGGCTCAGCAGTTAGAGCACTGGCCCACACACCAAAGGGTCTCGGGTTCAATTCCTAGTCAAAGGCACATACCTAGGTTGCAGGTTTTTGATCCCTGACCCTGGTCAGGGTCGTGCAGGAGGCAACCAATCGATGTGCATCTCTGACATCAATGTTTCTCTCCCTCTCTCTCTCTCTCTCCCTTCTTTCCACTCTATCTAAAAACCAATGGAAAAATATCTTCAGGTGAGGATTAAAAAAAGGTAAGTCAGTGAATAACAGTACCCTGTTAATAAATGTAGTGTAGAATTGTCATGTGAATAATAGGACTATAAAAATAAATTTACAAATAAAAGTGCAGGTCTGTAAATGTGCAGGTACAAAGAGTTCCAATCCCACTTGTAGGGTCCAGAGGCTCTCTTTGATCACTAGGTGAGGCAGAAATGTCCTCTACTGAATATAGTGGAGGAGTTGAGATTAGCAGGACATTAACAGATTTGATTCCAGATCTCACTCTACTAAGAAATGAGAAGCCAAGTCTTCCCTCTCTTAGTAAGAATGCACTTCTAAATTTAAAACCCTAAGGTGTTCTGCTTTACTAGGATTGCTGCTTTAAAAAGCTATAGTCCAGAAAGATAAGTACCATATGATTCCACTCATATGTGGAATTTAATGAACTAATAAGCAAAAAAGAGACAGACTCATAGATAGAAAGCAGCCTACCACCTGGGGCGGGAGTGAGGGAGCTGAGGACGGGTGGATGTACTGGGCAAAAATGAAAAAAAAAAACCTTAAGGATACGGACAACAGTGTGGTAATTGCTGCGGGGAAGAGAAGTAGAGGTGGAGGAGGATATGGGGGAATAAACAGTGATGGAGGGAGGATATGGGGAAATTTGAGCTTTCAAGTAAAAATTAGAATTTTTGAAAACTTGTACCATCACTGTAAGAATGACAAATTCCTAATACTTTTCTGAAGAGATGAGTGTTGAAATTAACCAATGTGTTTTATTTATATCATGTAGTAAAAAGTGTCAACACTTAAAGAACTGCATAAATCAGTGTTCTCAACATTTCTCAAGTGATCAAATACTGCATAATGTTAAAAATCACCCACTCAAAGTTCAAAGTGAACCAATGGATTTTAATGTAACAGAAGACAGAAAGGTCATTGATACAGTTTCAGATTACACATAGCAACTAACCTTTAAGAAACTACCACATGTCACTTTGGTGCAGTATTCAAAGAATATCTACAATGATCTAAAAAGTTAGTAGAATATGCCTAACTTTTCCAACTGTGAGACTGGATTTTCTTCATCCACTTTAATTAAAACAACATATCACAGCAGACTGAATGCAAAAGCTATGAGAATCCAGCAGTCTTCTATTAAACCAGACAATAAAAAGATTGATAAAAATGTAATACAGTGTCACTCACTCACTAAATATTTTTATTTTGGAAAACACAGCTGTTTTTCATAAAAATGTGTTTTTCAGTTTATATAAAATGGGTTATTGTTACTTTTAAATGAATTAATATTTTTTAAATTTCTCAGTTTTCATATCTAATATGGTAAATATCAATTAATGTAACCATATATATTAAAGCTCCTTAGGCATCCTCAATAACTGTTATAGTTTTAAAAGGATCAAAGACAAAAATAAGTTTGAGAATCACTGGATTAGAACACTGATTTCATGTACTGCGTCTTCTTTTCAGTTACACCCCACTTATAATGTTTCCAGACAAGGTAAATGTTGAATGATGAATCTCAGAAGCTGTACTTTTCATAAACAAGATAATGTAATTAATATAATTCCAATTTCAGGTTTAAAATACATGTATAGATTCATATGAAAGGTAATCACTAATTTGTACAAGTACGTATTTGCATTTACAAGTAAACTACAGACCCCAAAGTTACTAAGGGCTTTTTGGAATTTAAAATTTTACTGTCAAAGAAATTTTTTCTCTCTCTTTTTTAAAAAAAAAAAAAAATTGTATTTTTGGATTATATTATACCAGTAAGTCACAGTCAACAATAAGAAAGATCCATAAGTTATACTTTTCACTTTTTTGGAATAGTGACTCATAACACTCAACACTAATTTGAGAAATATCTCAGAATTTAAAAACTGAGAAAAGATAAAAGAGCAAAATCCCATAAAACTACTCAGAAAGTTTCTTCTTTTTCTGAGAATAAAGAATTCCAATGAGAATTATGTAAAAAGTTTCCTGTTTTGCCATAGCTGCTATGTTAATCAAAGCCAAAAATCATGCTGACTTCCAAATCTTGAACTTGGCTTAAGATCCTCCCCCCAGCTCATGGGTCATGTTTTTCCTTTTCTTTCTATTTTGTCTTACTACACACTTTTTTATTTTAAGCTACCTCAAATCCTTTCTGGAAAGATATGGGACATAAATAAACTTTTAAAAATATGCTTAAATATACAACATATATTTTGGCAGTATGAGATCACTGGCAGAAATATATTATTAATTGATCTAATTATGTACTATATATTTTTGTTGTTGTTAATCTTCACAAGAAGATATTTTTTTCCGTTGATTTTTTTTTTTTAGGGAGAGTAAAAAGGATGGTAGAGAGGGAAAAAGGAAGAGGAAGGGAGGAAGAAAGAGAGAGGAGAAAAACACCGATTTGAGAGAGGCACATCAATTAGTTGCCTCCTGCACACCCCCAGATCAGGGTAGGGAATAGAGCCCACATCCTTTGGGTACATGGACCAACACTCTAACTACCACACAGGCCAGGGCTGTACTATATATATATATATATATATATATAAATATTTAATATTTTTTTCCTTTATTGACTTCGAGAGAGAGGAAGGGAGAGGGAGTGAAAGATAGAAACATTGATGAGAAAGAACAGTGATTGGCTGCCTCCTGCATGCCCCCCACTGGGGATCAGGCCCACAACCTGGGCATGTGCCCTGACCAGGAATCAACCGGCGACCTCTTGGTGCATGGGTCGATGCTCAACCACTGAGCCACAGCAGCCGGGCTATACTATATTTTTAAAAAAGACTCAAAGTGGTCCCATGGACTGAGAGGTCCTGCTTCCATTCCCTGTCAGGGCACACGCAGAGGTTGTGGGCTCGATCGCCAGTATGGGGTGTGAAGGAGGCAGACGATGGATGTTACTCTCTCACATCAGTATTTCTCTCTCTTTCTCCCTTCCTCTTTTTCTAAAAATATCAATAAAAACATATGAAAATGACTCAAAACACTTACCCGTCTATGCCTTTCTCTGTCTTTACATTTCTCTCTCACCCAATCAATAGTATGGAAATCATCATATGTGCCAACACCTGGAATTGGTTCATCCAAAAGATCCAGTAAGTGTGTGGAACTATTAATGCTGCCTCCATTTGTCATTGTGTAATGAGTTCCTACAAAGCAAAAGAAGAACAATGATAGTGCCTTTATGAGAAACAATGGTGAACTGCAACCTTCTTAGAAGTTCATTAGTAATAGTATCACTAGAAATATAATAAAAGAGAGAAAATGAAAAAAATTATCCAAATTAAGAAAAGTTATCCAAAATTGGATAAGACAAAGTGATTATGGCATGTCCTTTCAAACTCTAGAGTATCAAAAATAAGCCTGCGTCAAAGATTCTGGTCCTAGACTAAGTAACTTTGGACAAGTCATCTTTATATGTTAAATATCTTTATGATATACACCACAGCTTATAATAAAGATATATAAGTAAAGAAGCATTTGAAATTTTTCTAAACCCCTAAAAACTTAGAAAAGCTGATACATAATTTCAAATAGGTGATTTTATCATAAGTGATTACAAATTACATCCACAAATTATATAGTGGTAATATATATTTTATACCAAAAAAAAAAATCTATAAGGGTGTCATTTTAATGAAAATTTAACTTAATGATAGAGAATATAGAGTGGCAGTATACTAATATTTAAACAGACATTATAAAGCCCTGGCCAGTTTTGCTCAGTGGTTGGAGCGTTGGCCTGTGAACGAGAGTCCTGGGTTCGGTTCCCGCTAGGGGCACATACCAAACAAACAAACAAACAAAAAATTGTAAAAATAAAACACAAGAAACCTGCTTATTTTATTACATGACTTTAAGACTTGCTAATGGTTAAAATGACTCATTCCCTTTTATTTACAGATAAACTATCATAAATGTTAAGTCATTTCACAAAACTATGATCTTGCAAAGCTAGAATCTGAACTTTCCCCAATCACTATAAACACTGCCTAGAATAGAGCAAGAGATTATCATAAATCAGTTGGGGGTAGGGTGAAGGGGAAGGGAGAGTTACACAAAGAGCCACCATGTCAATACTAAAAACAATTTTATTACTGGTAAGATAGACACCAAATAAACTACAATGAAGGTTGCAAGATCTGTTTCTTAATCATTCAAAGAGGCAATAGGAACTAGCATTAATATAGAAAGGGTTAACATTTTAAACAATATACTAAATCCTGAATATTGTACTAATAAACTTAAATATCTATTTACTTCTACCAGATAAAACAGGGTTCTCTCTTATCTCCCTATTCCATTCATTTGAATGTTGCCTTAGAAAGGTATAAAACGTCTAAAAGGAGAATAGTATATTGATTCCAGTGTTTTGGCAGAAGTGCTCCAGGAATAATTTATCCTTCTTGACCGAGGGTTTAAAGGCCCAATCCCTGCAATGGCACATGTCCATTCACATAAAACATATACTCTAAACCTTATCCTTAAAGCTTCAAGTATTCCATCTTTTTCTTCCTCTCTCTATCCTGATTTTATTTAGTAATTTCTGCCTTGTAAAACCTAACTGAAAGGTCATAACTTTTCTTAGAGAAAGCAGCTGGAGAATAAATATGATATTGGCAAATCTGAGAATCTCTGATTCTGCTTACCATGTAATACTAAAACTGGTAATTTAAAGAAAATGGTTCTGGAGGGAAGTGTTGAAAGCCTCTATAGATTTCTGGTATGATGATAAACCACTTTGTGGTACTCTAACCAAAAATGCATAAACTAAATCTTATAAGAAAAAAACAAATAAATCCAAACTGAGGAGAATTGTACAAAATAAATGGCTTACATTATTTAAAAATGTCAAAGTCACGAAAAACAAAGCTTGACAGAGGATTAAAGGATACTTTAGATTAAAGGATACTTCTGAATTATTACATCCTTGACCAGGAAAACATATTTTTTCTTTTATAGTAAAAAATACAGTGGGACAACTGGAAAATCTGAAAATAACCCATAGCTTGGATAATAGTACTGATCAATGCCAATTTTCAGATTTTGAAAATTGTACTGTGGCTATATATAAGGTAATGTCTCATAAGGAAATACACACTGAAGTATTTAGAAGTAAAAGTGCATCTTTTACTTTTTATGTCTGCATCTTACTTTTACATGGTTCAGGGGAAAAAATGTGGTATGTACGTGTGTGTGTGTGTATATATATTAGTATATATTATACATTACACAGATAATAGCATATATAGCAGCATAAGAAAGAACAAGAGACAGAATAAACAAATGTGGTAAAATGTTAACATTTCAGGAATCTGGGTACACTATTTTTCAACATCTGTAAGTCTGAAATTAAAAGAAAATATTATCTTATGTATACTATGAAAAAAATATTTTTTAAATGAACACTTGATATATTTTGCAAACTTCAAACTTTCCCCCCATATAAGCTTATGTAGGTAGAGTTTAAGAGACATGGACTACAGATCTTAATTATTACTCTTCAATGCAAAAAAATTAAAGAAACAAAATTTCTGTACCACCTAACATGCATCCAACACAATGTCATCAGCCCCAATGATAAGAATGCCCAAGCTGTTTGCACCAATGTGGATATATAGAAAATAAAGCATGTACTCTTCCAACAGACTTAAGAACTAGAAAGTAGAAAAGTAGAGACTATTATTCTCATTTTTAAAAAAAATATTTTTTCTTTATTGATATTAGAGAGAGTGGAAAGGAGAGGGAGAGAGAGATAGAAACATCAATGAGAGAGAACATCAAATGGCCGCCTCCTACATACCCCTCACTAGGGATTGGGCCCACAACCTGGGCATGTGCCTTGACTGGGAATTGAACCGGTGACCTTTTGGTGCATGGGATGATGTTCAACCACTAAGCCAGACCAAGGCTATTCTTATTTTTATATACCGACCAGGCTATTCTCATTTTTATGAGGTAGCAAAATGTATAGCACCATAATAAACATTTATATTAACCATGTGTCTGGCCTTCAGTGATGTTCAAATAACTATTCTGTAGAAACTCTGACATCTAAACTATCGAAGGTCCTGATTTAATGTATGATTCTGATTTAGCATGTAGCCCCAGCACTCTACTCTATTCAGTTTCTTCAAAACCTGCCCTATAAGCCTTGGCCCTTTCCCTTACATTTTATTAACTTCCTGAAGCAGCAAGAAACAATTGCCAAGCCCTAACTAATGGCCATAAGGTATGGCTTTCCTTAAGCTGTGTTTCAGCTCCTAAGCCCTAATGTGAAATGACCCCCTGTTCATGTATGTCCCCATGAAACCATACTGAAGGACCATGAAGCTCACCTCAAGACCTGAAATCATGATTTACTTCCCTTACCTCAAAATTGACCAACTTAGTTTCACTTATAACTCCAAACCCCTTACTCGATGGCATGATTTTTGCTCTATAAAGCCTGGTCTGTAAACTATCGGGGAGTCGGGTATTTTGAAGCACAAGCTCATCCATTCTCCACAATGGCAGCAATCCTAATAAACTAATTCTTTTCTCCACTGAAAACTCCCACTTGCACATTTCTTTCAGTCTGTGTGAGCCGGTGGATGAACTCTCATTCAGCTCAGTAACATATATATGCAGTAATTCTGAATATGTGAAACCAGAAATAAAGGACTCATCCTTTTTTAAACTAGAGGACCCTGTGGATCAATGTATTATGCTTGGGGGCTTGCATGTTGTGTCCCTTAGGATTACTAGGGCTGCCATTGCACACATTAATGTGGAAATTAGCCAGAGTAGTTTGTGTCCCCAGCAGCCTGTTTGCAGGTCTGTCCCCTCATGCCAATCTGCTTCTACCTGACACAGCAATGGTGCTTGGAAACAGTCAAGTATAGAGGGAAATAATTCTTGATCTTCTTGGTTTTGGGGGAGCCCACAGAAACAGATTTCCCCTCTAAATTATTTTTAAAAGTGGTTTGGGTCCTTCTTATGACTGATGCTATTAAATTAGCTTGGACAGTAAACAAGATAGATTTTGATATGAAAATAAACATTTTTTGTTGAGGTAGAGCTGATTAGACTATTTGTTGGGGTCTGATAAATACAATTAAATGGAATCTCCAGGAGGAGGAAGGCAGACATTACAATCTGGCTTTAACTTTTCTCCTTTCATCCTGTTTCTTGCTCATTGTACTAGGTTATTAATGACAACTGAAAGGTATCATATTTACTGAGAAATCAATAAACATTTTTTAATTTAAAGTCTGTTAATTGTAAAAAATTTTTTAAATAAAATTTAAGAATTGGCTGGCCATTAAAAAAAATATTCAGACTTTAGTATATGTATGACACTTCATATATTTTATTTTATAACTTGTTCTGCCAAACATTGAAATCTGAGTAGCACAGAGAAGGAGAATAGAAAAGATATTCTGTCCTATTCTAAACTGGGTAGGGAACATTAATTTCTAACAGAATCACAGAAATACCTACATATCCCATGTTAGGAGTAATTTTAAAGGTATCATATTTCCTAACAACAATGGTTTTTAAATATTCCTAACCTATCACTTGTTTGTGTATAGTTCACTGCAACCTTGATTTGTATGAAGTTTAACTTACATATATTAAAATGAGATGAATACAAATAAATTATATATGTGTGTTAGTAAAATTTTTATAAGTAACAGTATAAATTAACCAACTTCATCTTATGCATGAATGAAGCATAAAACTTGTAGGTTATTCCACAAGGACAAATTAAAGTTCTCTCACATATAAAGTATATCTCTTTCTTTCCCAAAATAATATTTCAAAACCAAGAGGTTTATGGGATGAAATAAAGATGGTGAGGCTGCAGTTCCCTGATTATGCCTTTCTCTGTCCTCAGTAAAAGCTCTTCTTATAGTTGCATTTTATTAAAACAAAATGGTATGATTTACCCTGAACTTCCCATTTCTCAAAGCATATGCAGGTCTCATTTATTTATCCGTGAAGACAGTAGTAGAGATGCACCAGAATGCCTTTTGGAAGTGCTAATCAAGGCTCCTCACCCACTGTGACTTCCTTGCCCTCTCCATGTGTCTTCCCCATAGAGTTCAGTGAGACAGCCACTGCCACAGGAACAGAAATACAGCAGATCACAGAAAACAAGGCTCTG